GCCGTCCCCGTGGTATAGAGGGGTGCTAATATATTAAGTTTATTTATCTTAGAAGCTATAGTATAGTCGTTTCTTCCTTTCTTCTCGGCTCTCTCTTCTTAAGTCTTATAGACCTCTCTAGCTATGAAGTCGGGGGCGCCCTTCTTAAATACCGCATAATATAGGTCGCTATTAAGGCTTAATAGTTCGCTAATAGTAATGTTTATAGTTATCCCTAGAACGCGCACTAGCCATGCTTCGCTAGCTTCTATACTTAGCCGCTATCCTTCACGTAGATAGTTATTAAGCTTAACGCCTCGGATACGTGCCTTTTAACTAGGATTTAGGCTATCCCCTTTATCTATCTTATCCTCTAGCGCTATTAGCTCTTATTTAGACGTTCCCTAGTCGCTACTCTTCTTACCGTCCTTCTATTTCTTAATAATCCTTATATACTACCCTTCACGCATTCCGCGGAGATAGGCGATCTTTCTTTCCTTAGTATAATTAGGTATACTCTTCGTAATCCCCCTTCTAGATATTACGAGTATAGTAGGCTCTTCTAGGGCTATCTCCTCGCGGATATATCTATTACTAGCCACGTTAAAGCGTTTATAGAATTCTATATATCTATCTTTCTTACTCTCGGGCGATATGACTTCTTCTTCCGAATCGCTATCCGCCGAGGTCTAGTAGGGACCCTTTATAGGTTTTATACTAATACTATATACTAGTACTCCCTATGAAGCGTTAATATTTACTATAGACGTAGAAACCTTTACTCCTCCTCCGTACTAGCTTAGGCCGTTTTAAACCGTTACTATATAGTTCCGGATAGCTTATAGAGTAGCTTATAGCCCTACTAAGGAGGGTAGTAATGGGATTTCTTCTCCGTTCGCCCCGAAACGCCCTTAGAATACTTATACCCCGTTAATATTTAGTAATCCGTCTCTAATGTATCCTACTATCTCCGGACATCTATATATTAGGTAATCTCCTCCGTACGTGATATACATAATCAGTCTTTAAGGCCTATCCTAGGCTATAATATCTCCTTAGGAGTCTCGGGTAGAGACGTATTCTCTATTCTATATATAATTCTATAGATAAACTTACGTTAGTTCTATAGGCATGCCTTATACTTAGGGATATACTAAAAGATTTAGCCTTCGCGTCTACTAGTTAATAATAGCCGAAAGTAGCTTAGGTTCGTACTTCTTAAGAGATAGAAATAAGGGATTAGAGGTAAAGTAGGACTTCATCTTAATTAACGTAAGGTCTAGTTTACTAAATCTCTCTACTATCTCGTTAAACTTATCCGATCCTAGCGCGATATATACTATAACTAGAGAGAGGTAGTTAAATTTATTAGTTCTTCTTTCTTCATATAACTACTCTTCTAAGCCGGTCTTCTTACTCCCTATCTTTGATTTATGGTATATGGCTATGGCTAGCTCTTATACGGCTAAGTACTTATTAATACGAGCTAGTTCCTTAAGTGCTCTAGCCTTTCGTAATACGAAGCTATAGATAATTACCTAGTTATAACTATATGCTTCTATCGTAAGTTAACATTTCTCTATAGCCCGAGCCTTAAGACTATTAGGCAGCCCTTCTAGGAAGAGCTCTATTCGCGAATATAAGCTTAGGCTTCCTTTAGCCGTAAGTTTCTCCGTAATAACATGATACTAGGAGTAGTATATAGGGAGAGAGTAGGATAGGTCTACTTTAACTATTTCCACGTATTTTTAGATAAAGTAGATAGTGCCTTCCTTAAGGGTAGAGTTAAATAGAGAGAATTCCTTTAATAATTCTTCACGTAGTATAGCCTACTACTATTTCTAAAACCTACTTATTCCTTTAATAGTAGGACGGAGATAGTCCTCGTAGTATAATAGTAGGGAGATTATCTTCTTATTAGGCGGAACTTCGTAGTTTATATATATGTCCTCGTACTTCCAAAGGAAGGCCGTGATGTTTATTCCTTTAAAGCGCTTAGGGGCTAGGGTAGGTAGAGATATTATCCTTCCTTATCGCGTAAATGCTACGAAGAAGTTAAGTATCTCTCTACGAGTTACTAGGTTATTATTTTAAGCTCCTATCGCACTATTACTAGTAGTAGGTATACTAGTAGAGACGCTAGGGGTAAGGTTATTAGTTAAGGGATTACCTTAACTAAAGGTTAGCCTAATACGTCTATCTATAACACCTATTATCCCTTCTCTATATTAACTAATCCCTTTATAAGGTAAACTATTACTATCGTCTTTATTAATATAAGGTTTACGGTATTCTACTTATATTATTATCTTCGTGTAAGGCGTTTCTAAAGTAGTATACTCGTGTAGCCGTATTTATAAATAACAGCTATAGTAGTACTAAATAGGTTATATTTATCGTTTTTGAACTCTTCTTTACTACTTCATCTAGCCCTATTTTATATTCTATTCCTCTAAGACATTTTCGAGTCGCGCTATTACCCGTGTTAGCATGCATATACTTTTTATAGCTACTTTTAAGAGGCTAGCCTCTAGCGACTCCGGACTCCCTATTTTCCGGACTCGTGGCTTCGATCTAGTAAGTCTAGACTACCTTATTAGGCACGCTATATACTTCCTCTAAGCTAGTTTTAGAGTCCTAATCTCCCCCTATAAGTTTATAGTCCGGGTACGACCTCTAAAATTATGGTAAGCTATCGCCACGTGTATCCCTTTTATAAATGGCTATATTTCTAGTATAGTAGTCGCGACGAACTCATAAGTATCTCTCCTAGGTATTATAAGTTCTCTTTAAACGCACGACTTCTTATTAGTTCTCTTTTACGATAGGACGGGTCTATATAATACTCTTAATTAATTCTTTAATAGCTAAGCCTAATAATTAATACCCATAGAGGCCCATGAACGTAAGGAAAGGTCGAATAGTCGAATATTAGTAATGGGGGAAAACGCGCCGAGCAGAATGACCAAGGAAAACGCCCTCCTTAAATATACAATGAAGCCATGTAATCGAGCTAGGGATACATACATGTAGGGCTATAGGAGCGGCCTTCCACACTACTTCACTCGCCTACTAGCTAGTTACTATTTATACTCTATTAATACTTACTATAAACCTACTTATATCTCTTAGAGTCTTCTAAGTACCTTTATCTTTAGAAAAGCCGGGATACTCTATAGAACGGACTACTTTAGGGATAAGCCGCACCCCTATTAGAAAGGTTTATTATAAGTACTAAGTATCTATACTAGAGCCTTTATTAGCCTATATCTAATAGTATCTATCCTTATAAGGATAGTTATTAACTCTATACTTAAGACGAGCGACTAGAGCGTGGTAATACTACGTAGTATTCGCTACTACGTCTACTCGTATAGTATTTATAGCGCTAATAGAACTATTCTATCTCTCTCCTAAACTAGATACCCTAGCTTATATATAGTATATAGAGATATATAATAGTAGTATCTTAAGATTATTCGGAGGAGAGAGTAATTCGCTATATATACTAGTAGATATAGGCGTTCTATATATATTTACTAACGACGTTATACTATAAGGTCTAGTTTTAGAGGCTTATACTCTTCGTTTCTTTATAGCTTTATATCTAGGGTATAGTACTCTAACTTTAAACTTTAGATTAATATCGTGCTTTAGTTTCCTTATATAAATATAATTAATATAGAATAGAATCTTAACCTTATCTATAAGGGTAAAGGAGACTTCTATTAAGTATATATACTTATTTAAGGTAGACTAAGATTATATAACTAGGGACATTTTTCTATCGAACTTCCACGACTCGTTAATAACTATCTCTTATATAGTCTTATTTATTCTATCCTTAATCTTATCTAGTACCTAGAACTTATATAGAGATAAAGATAGATTCTTTTATTTCTTCTTCTTTCTATTAATATAAAGTACTAATATTAGATATAGTATAAATAGAGCTATAGCCGTAGAAGGACTTAATAGAGGAGGCTTATTTTCTATATTACGCTTATTACCACGTAATAGTAATAGTAATAAATATATATCTATGGCCTTATTTAATACCTACGGTATAGAGATAAGTATCTCTACTATATTTACGTTATAATTAGATATAATAGTCGCCTATTTACTAATAGTAGCTGGTATACTATTTACCGTCTTACTCTTAGACTTTCTATTTTGGACTATCTAACTATGGCTTACTATTACCCTTACTATTAGTTAATATATATAACGCGTTTAAGAAGGAGAAGCCTCTATTAAGTAGTTAGGTATCTCGAGTAGCCTACTAAAACAAGCCCTCTTACTACTATAACGCGCTATAGATATAGTTTAGGGGTATTTTAAGTATTATATAATATGGAGATAAGGCTAATAAGTGCCTATATACGTAGATTCGACGTATTTTATGACGTTGCGGCTACTATGCACGATAATGTTTAAAATGCTTATTTACTATGGAAAAACGTTATGTTGCGCACGAGCATGCATGCCAAGAGTTGCGCTGAAAAAGTTACGGACGAATCAGCGCTTACTTACCTGGGAGTTGAGAGTAACGTCATGGGTGTTAGTTTACAGCGGGTGCAACGGTAGGCCAGGCATTAACATGGTAAGGCAGCACTTCGATTGCAAAGTTGTACGTTGCCTGGGGTTTTGAGCGAACTGGCACGATGGCGTGCAAGAATGACTTGCCTCGTTTGAAGCTGCTCGGCCAATCATGCAGCTTCGGCTCCTCCAAATGTGTAGGCCTAAGGCAGTCATTGACCTTTTTATTGGAAGACTGACTTGCATATCTACAGCCTGAGTTATTAGAGGCCTAGAGACTCATCCTAGTCTATGTTACTCAATAAACAGTGACAAGTCTATGGTATCTACACTGTCTTTACCCGGATATAATTAGCAGATCCTTTCCACACACTCATAGAAAGACCCTTTCAACCCCAGGCTAAGAACAATGCAAACAAACTTCTCGTGTCAATACAGAAGGCCACACGCATCAGCGACAGTACACGAAAGCCGCACTCCTACGTTGTCTTGCCCGTCGCAATTAGGTTCAACCAGGCCGCCAGTCGGTACCCAGCTGCATATCGGTTAGCTCCTGAGACCTTTCACAATTGGATAAGACTGACCCCGTGCAATTTGGATCCTTGGAGCATGGATATGGTCATCGTAATAATCCCCGCTTAGATCAACGCCTTGGACCGCCGCAACTCCATCTGGAATGACATCTGTACAGACGTAGCCATTGGCTTCGCCTGCCCACTTCATGCCAGTCGCCTCAGGATCGTTAATGTCGGTTCCAGACAGCCATGAGGTAGTACTCCAGGTTCCTGCCTTGATGGCGTCGGTCGTGCTGGTAGCGAAAGTACGTGCGACAGTGAGCGAAGAGCCACCGGCGTATTCCTGGATGAGCGACGAGTCCCAGACGGAGTGGAGGTTGGTAGAGGCGCTGTTGTATGTAACAGCGATGCTGTTGCCGCCAACATCGAGGTTCTCGACATGGAGTGGCTGATGCATGTCGCCCACGAACTATAAGATGTCAGCCTCGTATCATGGCTTGCCGGATGATTGCTTGCGTACGTGAATGACAAACTTCATCGCATCGAGCTTGGCGGCGGCAGACGTCGACGAGGACATGAGCTGGTTTGTGAAGTTTGTGAGTGCGCTCACGACACAGCCCTCTGCAGGACAGTCGCGGGCAAAGTTGACACCACAGCTACCGGGAGGGCTATCCATGGCATCCATAAAGTGCAGAGGCGCGGACCATTTTCCCGCGGTGGTGGACCGATAGCTGTCAGCCCAGGTCGCTACATTGGCCATGTACCTTGTAGATGTATCGGAGAGAATATTCTGGATGGCGCGTCAGATTCATATCATGTAGCACATCAACGTTTGAACGCTATGTACCTGTACAAACGTCGCAGTCGCAGACGACACAAAGTCTTGTGCGATGTACGCAACCGCTTCATGGCCAAATGCGCCCCACGCAGCAACGCTTCGAATTGAAGTGAAGCCCAAAAGGGCGATCAGACCGAGGCTTGCCATTGGTAGAACAGGATGCGGCAAGAATATAAGTCAACAATTGCTGAGCACCGTGATGCGCAGGCGAGACTCTACATTTTATCTTCTTGTGCATACGCGCGCATTGGTAGTGCGGACTATCACAAGGTCATGATTCGACGTCGTCACTTTGTTCAGAGCTTCCTCTTTGCGACAAGTCTCCGTTTTTCATGCACGGCGATCCCCACAGCGCTTGCAATCGCGACTAGGCATGTTTCGTGTAGATCAGGGGGGTTATCTGACACCTGTCCGATGTATCGATGGTGACTCGTGCCGATATGGAGATGCCAGCAGCGCGTTGTGGCAGGTCGGAAAGATGAATGTCGTCGGCGTGGGAAACTTCGGAAACTCGCTTAAGGTGATTGGATGCATGATAAACTCATCTTCTATTCTTACGATAAGCAGGCAGCTCCGATGTACTAGCCATGGTCTAAGAAGCTTAAGTATGGTTAAGCTCTCAGGAACATGCCCAGGAGCCCCGGGCTTCCTCGATAATCCCATTGAAGAGAAAGAAGACCATCACGAGAAGCTGGCCCTGGAGCAACACTAGGAACGACTAACCTAGTCCGGACAAGACTAGCGCGCAACTTCATTCACCTCCGTCTTCTTTCTTTGTTTCTCTAGCTACTTCGTGCCACAGTGAGTTAACTCGTTTTCCCATTGATCTTCTTGTCGTCCTCCTCTTTAAGAATATCTCGCATGGTCTCAAACGATTTGATAGCTATCATTCTTACTCCCCCTGGTAAAGTGTTACAAGTGCTTAGGGTCTTGTATCTCTCTGGATTCTCCGCTCATCATCTAACCACTAATCTGCCTTCATGGTCTCCCGGACGAGTCTTCACTTCCTATAACTCCCCTTCTACGCAGTCAAAAAATAGCCATACATATAAACCTCCGGAATATGAGACCACGACAACACGCTACACCATCAGCTACAATACGCACTAGCGAAACCCACATAAATAACCAACACCCAGACACCCCCTATCAACCCCCACAGTTACAACCCCATAAGTCCTGGATAGGTATGTACGTCGGTAGATATATCATTAGCACGACCTACCTTAACTAAGAACCCTTCACTACGTCATAACACTACTCAAACCCAGCATCGAACCACAACCCGTGACCAGGAACGCAAAATTATATATATATACCTACCTCCCCATCCACCATTCCACCATCCAGACCTCAGGAGTCCTCCCTTTTCTGCTTTTAATGTAAGCAGTGCAGATGTCATGTGTCAGGAAAAGCGACTGACAATGCGTGGCTTTTTGTTGGTGGCGGAACAGTATGGGGTTGGTTGTGGTGGTGGTGGTGATGATTGTCATCGTTGTTTATAATCATGATGGTGATTATCATCGTGATGAGGCAGCTCGGTGACTGTGGATTTACACACAAATGATCATCACCACCAATTTACCAATCCACCAACCCACCAACCCCCAATCAACCTCACCACCACGAGCCGTCCCCCCACCCCCCCGAGAAGCTAGCGAAAAGGCCGTATTTTGTGTCGTGACTCCGATTCGGACACTCCCAAATGTATTCGCCGTTTTCATCGTCGAACGTACGAGCCGCATATTTGCCACATTCGCAGATGATCTTTGTTGGTTCGAAGAGTAGGGAGTATCCTGGCTGTGTACTGTGCTATATACCTGTATGTACTAGCCCTGAGTACGCTGTAGGCATGTATATGTGCTTGTGCCGGGTAAGCAAGATTATGCTGGGTAAGTAAGTGTGTGCCGGGTAAGTAAGAATATCCCAGGTACGCGCATTCACCAGTTTTACATGTCTACATGACAAACTTCTAGCTCAGTCCAACCCAGTGAAGACAACACCACCCAGCACCTACCTACCCGTCACCCCAAACACCACATATATATCCCACATCCCCCCACATCCCTCCACAACACTCCCTCCACATCAGCCATGCACATCTCCCACTCCGTCTACTACCATTACGGACGGGAGATGGTGCAGATACAGTGGGAATCTCTACCAATGTCGTTCTGCGGCGTCTTCTGGTCAGATAAGATACTGCCAGAATGTCTGGCTGGCTGTTTGTTCGTTTGTGTCGAACTTATGGGACTCCGTTCACATGCGTGGTTGTTGCTGTGCTTTCGGTGCTGTGCTTTGAGTGGTTGGTAATGATGGTTGGTGATGATGGTTGGTGATGATGGTTGGTGATGATGGTTGGTGATGATGGTTGGTGATGGGTGTTGGTGATGGGCGTTGGTGATGATGGTTGGTGCTGATGGTTGGTGAGGGCGATTGTGTATTTGGGTATTTTTTCCAAGTTTTTGGTGGGTGGAAGGAGAGAAGGGGTGGGAGGGATGTTCATCATCATCATGATCAAGGCTGGATGATTATTATCAGCACTGCGTATGTAGTTCATCACTCTCGTCCCAGGCATGCAGGTGTATGGACTGTAATAGTACAGTGATGAATCATTACAGTAGTAACACATACTCAAGCACCAGTGAAAAAATACAAGATATATACAAATCTATTTCAAGCCCCCATATCCCTCTCCGCTTTCGCCTCCCTCGCCCTCCTCCTCTCCTCATCCCTCCACGCCGCCAGCCCCTCCCTGCCCAGCCCCAACATCTCCAACGTCCGACTCTTCCCCTCACGATCCCGCGTCTCCGGCACCAAGAACCACGTCACCACAGCCCCGGCCCCCATAAACGCCGCCATAACCTGCAGCACATGTCCCAGATCGCTCTCCGGATTCTTCATAAAGGGCGCAAAGGCAAGGAACAGCTGTGCGACCCACGAGCCCAGCTTGCCGGCTGCGGCAGACAGACCATGACAGGTTGCGCGGTAGCGGGTAGGGAAGATTTCGGCGGGGATGATGAAGGTGGTGACGTTGGGACCGAGGTTGAAGACGAGTTGGCAGAGGACGTAGAGGACGTAGAGGCCTGTGGATTGCTTGTCGCCGCTGTCTTTGAGGAGGGTTTCCCAGACGCTTCCCGTGACGATGAATAGGATGGCTAGGACGACGAAGCCCCAGAATTGGATGACTTTGGGGCTTGCGTATTTGGTCACTTTGATCATGGCTGCGCCGCCGACGGTTGCGCCGATTGAGACTAGGACGAGGTACTGGATCGCGTTGTTCTTGAGCGTGCTGTACACGGGCAGGCGGCCTTTGTTGGGTGACCAGATGTGTGATAGGATTTCTGGAGATGAAAGGCCGAGACCATAGAAGGCGAAGTCGAGGCTGAGCCATGACAAGCTGGTGCCGGCAAGCCAGATCCAGTTGCCTTGAGTGATGAAGTAATTCCTCAAGTCTTCCTGAGAGGCATCTGGTGGGTCGTCGAGAGGATTCGGAAGGTGGTCACTGTGTCCTCCGATTGAATGACGTTCTTGAGGAGTGTGATCAATATCCACTACGTCCACGTAATGCGTATCATGATCGATGTCAAGCACATCATCTTCAGGGCCGATGGTGTCGCTCCCAGGAGGTGCAAAGCTTGGACTATGACCGTAGCCAGGTGATGGCATTGGAGACGGAGTCAACGCGCCACGAGCAATGGACGAGGCCCTCGCATCTGGCACCTTGTGCATCTCATGCGCGTGCTCGTGGTAGGGCTCACTAGTATTGAGTTGTACGGTTTCCTCCAAGTCGAATTCCCGCCCGTAGAAATTGTCAGTGTCGTCACTTGCTTTCTGAAACTTCTTCTTGATATCCATCTTGTAGCGAGGGCTTTCTGGGATGGTGAGACGGAAAGCCAAGGCTATAAGTGCCGGTACTGCACCAAGTCCAACTACCAGCCGCCAGAGCTTGTCGATCGCACGCAGACAATCACCATCAGCACGACAAGCAATGTCATTGTCTGTAATGTAGCCCTTCCAAGATGTCACAGCAGCAAGAGATATCACAGTCGCCAAAAGCTGCTCTTATGTTAGCTACATGCACGATAAAAATGAGAGACGACATACCTGGCCAATTGGCTGCATGAAGAACACAGTTGCCATCATGCGAGCACGATGCTTCCTAGGCGCAAATTCAGACGTAATCGTAGCGCTCAAGGGATAGTCGGCGCCAATCCCCAGGCCCATGAGGAATCTCCAGGTCAAGAGCCAGCCTTCGATGGCCATGCTATTCGCTGCTCCACGTGAGCTCATCGCGAGGAGGATAGTAGCCACGATAACGATGATCAACTCAAGGCCGTACATCTTCCTTCGACCCAGGAAGTCTGCTGCTACGCCAAAGGCAATCTGTCCGACCATAGTTCCGGCAAGTGTTGCGCACATCATCCCAGTCTTATACCCGGGAGGCATGACCCCAGCCTCTGGCCAATACACAAACCCTAGCATCGGCGTCACAACGTTGAGAGCGAATATATCATAGGAATCGGTCAGGAATCCGATTCCAGCCACCACTACAACCCACCACTGATAGCCAGAGGAGTCGATCGTTTCCAGTGTCCATTCGCGTTGTTTTTCTGCCTGTACGGCAGTCAATAAAGGATGTCATTTTTTGTGGTTTGCCAAAACTTACTGAATAGCCTTCATTGCCTCGTGTTGGGTCTCTAACCCCACGCACTGTGCGATTAACCCATCTTCTGAGACCCATATCTCACTTGAATCCTGTAATCCCAAGGTACGATGATAATGATATGGCTCGGAGATCTTTCGGATCAACGGGGGTCTATAAATGTTCTGCACTCGCAGGTCCAAGATATCAGCCGGGCATATCGTTAATAAAGCGTCAGGAAGTTGGCCAGTCCTTGCGTAGGGAGGTTTCATACTCCATGTGTCATTCATCGCAACGATGCGCTGCGGCTCCAGTCATCTCAACGGCTTTGACGGCAGACACCGGCTTCCCATTTCAAGGTGAACATTGTCTAGCAGTCAATCTGCCTCGCTCGCTAGGCGAAGCAGTAGGATGTGTATTATTGTGGCGGAGGCGCAGAGCCAATTGTATGTTTTGGCGTTGTTAGTGTTCGTTCCAAAGCGTTTGTGCTGATCCGTCGGTCGACCAATCAGCGCGTCCGTATCGAACACGCCTGATGTTGAATGGTAAGTGGAGCACGCGTTCTACAACCACACAAGACCAGCCCTCAAGGCGCTGCGTTGCAGCCTGTTTTCCGGGAGCAAGGCAGACTGTCTATACAATAATTCGGTCGCCCATGTGCACTAGAATCGAAGCCAAAGAGGCCATGTCTGTCCTGCTGAGCCGGTTGTAGAGCGTCTGGGCTGTTCTTTCTCGGAATAATCCTGCTGCTTCATGCGGAGAAGCCCATGAGATGGCTGTGTAGCACGACTTCCGGTGACTGCTTCGCTCACGAAATGTCCCACCCCGTATTTCGTGTAAACGCCCCGTGTTGAGGTCGACAGGGCAGCAGCATTCCACTGCCCCCTCTCTTACTCAGTGTTAGAATTGCTGGTAGTGCACTGAGCAAGATGATGGGTTATGCAGTAAGCCGATTAATCGACGAAGAACAGAGGGAATATCAGCTGAACCTGAAGCAAGGCTACAGCGCCGTGGAAACATGAGTCCATGTCTGCTCTGCACCCACGTACTCATCACTCGGTATCTCGACAGAAGTCTTTGGGGGTGGGGACTAGGTACTTTCCAGGCTCCTGATTTTGCGACGTGTGTACGACGATACCGCCCAATGTGTATATAGTACATTGTATACGAGCCACACTCTCGCACCTCCTCAAATGATAACCTCGAAATTGTCGTTCCATATTCTGACAAACTCATTGCGGTCTCCGGCTGTATCAAAATGAATCTCGATCCAATTAAGCTTATGCTGGTTCATGGGGAAGCCTTTCGATACGGTAATCGATGATTCTCCAGATGATGTAGTTGGACTTCGTCGTACTTGCGGGCGCTCTTGAGAGGACATACTACTCAGTCTTCGAAGTAGTTTGCCCCCTGCGTGCTCTGCCGCATTCTTGCTGAACACCAACTTGACATCTTTACTCGAGGATTTTCTCAATGTCGAAGACGATAACCGCTCGAAAGCGACGTCTAGGTAGAAACATAATTAGCTGATGTCCATATATGAATCAAGACCCACTTACGATATTCTTCAATCCAAATGGGCTTGTCTCTTCTGTTCGTATACAAAAGCAGAGTCAGATACGGTCCGTCCCGAAAGAGTCTGACGCTAGTGTTGCGGCACTCCTCTACCTGCTTGTTTGACTCGACTAAGCGAACGTTACGAGAGTATACGAGCTCCTGATTGTGATACATTTCCTTTTGTAGTAGCTTGCAGTCTTCAGTAGTCGAAAACGTTAGCTTCATATCCTTGATTGAAGGTGGTCTGTAGGTTCCACGAGGACCTTGTGGAAAAGTTATGTAGGTCTTAGGTTGGTTGCGAACGACACCATGCATCGCTAGAGGTATTGGACTGTTTTGGGGAGGGAGATGCTGATAGACGGATCCACCTTTATCGGTCTTTAGTGTTGCTCGTAATGATAATCCACCATCCTGTCGTCGACAGAAACTGACCGTACATGGTACCGGTTTCCGCCAGGTCTTGTCAACAAGGTACTCGAGCTCCGCAGTATCGCTTGCCAGTTGCCAGACGAAAGATGATGGAGGTAAGTCTAGAGGTACCATTCCAGTCGTCGGGCTTGTATGGGATCCTACAAGCATTTCGCCGGCGCTAGGAGTGGATAAAGGTGTGATACCGGGTGTGACAGCGTATGCAGAGCCATGTGATGCTCTCCAGGAAGTTCTTCCAGTCGAGATGGTGCTCACTGTCCGTACAGATGAGACTGATTCTGGGCGCGGCCTTGTCGGTGACATACTACTAGACTCCTCCCACGGGTTGCGGAAAACGGGCGCAGATACGGAACCACTACTCGATGCTTCGTATTCATCATATACAGACTCTAAGTCAATGCCACTGTCGACCGTTCTTGCTGTACCCGCGCGGCTCGGCTCTTTGAGTGCCCTGGGTGGTAGATGCGTCCATATGTCTTTGGCTTCTGCGGGATCATCGATTTGGATACCAGGGATCGGCGAGCCTTCGGGCGTTTCCAAGATAGTCATCTTTCCTGGGCTACCATAGGTAGAGTGCTTGTCATGGTTGATCTGCTCGAAAGCAATTCTCTTGTTTCGATTTTCAGCTCTCTCGAGAACGTCACTGATATCGTCTTTGAGTTTCAGCAATACATCGAGATCGACTGATACGGCCAAACGTGGCTGGGCGATTCCGAGACCCCTCACCGCCGCTGGTTGAGCTTTGTTAGCGATGATGTCCTCGAGGAAGTCCTTGAGTCTATTAGATTCGTCCTGTAGTAATAGTGGATCAGAGGTTTCTGTCTGCGCAAGTCCTCTTGTTTGATTGATGGAGCTTGCTGATAGTCTTCCATGCCTGATGGGGATTGGGAGTGTCCGTTCAGGCGGCTGCAGATGCTGAGCCTCGAGTGTGAGTTGTCTACTAAGAGTCAGTGTACCGTATGTCAACCAACTTGATACAAAAGAACCCACAGATTGAGATATTGGGTATGTATTAGAAGCGCTTGCACGTGGCCATGGATCTGCGCCCGAAATCGTTCGACGTCTTTATCCTTCCACGCGAAGGCGATTGTGTGATAGCCTTTATTGACAGACTTCCCACGGTCGATCAAAGCATCCACATAGGGTTTGATAAAGGTCTCGCACTCCTTGAGGGTCTTCTCGAAGTCGGCAAACACCAAGGGCACGCATTTGCCATACTTTTCCAGCAGATTCTGAAGAAGGGACAATGAAGTGTTGAAGTTTTTGAGCTCTCGAACGAGGGCCTGTACTTGCACGGTAGAGTTCTTACTAGCATCATTGAATGCCATGTACACTTTGGCGCTTAGCTCAACGAGCTTCACGACATCTGTGACGGACCAGCCAAAACTCATGTTCGGCCGTTTGGCCGCTGCGGCGGTCTGTTGTTGCTTTTGTCTGTGGCCAGGTTGATCTTGTTCGTAGAAGGTTTCGTAGCAGAAAAGCTAAGAGGTGAGATGGCAGGGCTATCAACGGAGGAGTTCCCTGTTGTAGGTACCTACGGACTCTGACGAGCTCGTTGCGTGGTGGTGGGGGCTCATAGTCCAGCCTACACACCTGCGTGGTGCAAATAGCCAGGCGGCTAAACGCGCCACGATTGAGGACATGAACAATTGGATGTACCTATGCAAAGGCTCGTAGCCTCTAAATCGAAACACGAGGACGGCCTCGAGCTTCAGATGAGCATCGCGTCTGACTCTGCGACGCAAAAAGTCCAGTACCTGGTCATCGTGTTGGTGCAAGGCAGTTTGCGGGCCCGCATGATTGTCTAAGCCACGGTCGACTCCCGCGATCACTTGTCATGTAGTCTATATTTATGCCATGGCATAGGTGAGAAGAGTGAGGGAGTTGGATAGGGAGTCAAGCTGGCCAGAGAAGTCTAGATGGAACTGTTGCTTGCGATGCATGTGCATTGATGGAGACAGTAAGTACTTGAAGAGACAAAGATTGTGTTATATGTTTGCGGCCTCAGGCAGCCAAATACATGTGCCTCATCGATAAGGCTTCCCATTCAACTTGAAGCATGACATATTTGAAATGCAATCTTGAGATTCGAGAATAAAGTCGCTCCACAATATCGATTCCCACTCATTAGCCACGAGTGAACCTCTCATCCTAACCCTTCTTCTTAACAACAAGCAAAACCCCAGTCACACTGGCCTTCAACCACTCCTTCCCTTCCTCTACCCCTTCCTCCCTCAAGATCCTCTCCACCTCCCTCCTAATAACCCTAACCACATCCTCCTCCGTCCCCACCTTTCCCCCATTCGCCTCCCTCCACCTCGTCACCGGACTCGCCGTCCCCATCATCCTCTCCATAACATCCAAACTCACCCTCTCATCGACCCGCCTCTCAAAAAACTCCTCCCCAACACCTTCCTTTCCAGGAACCCACTCCCTCCGAAACACACTCTCCCGCTCAAATTCCTCAACAGCAGGCTCCACGCTCCACGGCATCCCCAAATTACGATATAAGCCGTGCGCTGCGTCCGTTCCCGGTTCGAAATAGGCACGCAAGTACTCCGCATTCAACTCATCCATCCGGGCCTGGATGCGCGCCGCGCCCGGCACATCGGGGTGGACACGGAATTGATTACCTGTCCATAGCGCCACGCTGCCGCCTGGCTTCACGACTCGCGCTGCGGCGCGCCAGAAGCCGGGCATGTCGAACCAGTGAGCCGCAGTCGCGGCGGTGATCAGGTCGACGCTGTTGCTTGCAACAGGGGGATCAAGATTTGCACCCAGACTCTCCGCTGCAGAGACGGCGAAGGTGAGATTGGGGGTGGAGGTGGTAGAGGGGTGGAGCTCGCGGGCGGTGGCAATCATGCCCTCTGAGGCATCGAGGCCGAGGGCGGTTGTGAAGTGTGGTGCGAGGGAGGCTGTGGCAGTGCCGGGGCCGCAGCCGATGTCGAGGAGGGAGTTGAGTTTGCCGCCAGTAGAAGTGTGGACGCGCAGGACGAGTGCGTAGAGAGTTTCGTGGTAGTTCGTGCGGTATTGGGCGTAGGCCGCGCCTTGTTGGGGAGTGTAGGACCGGAAGGTCTGTTCGGGCATGGTGGGCTCTCGGGCGAGGGATAGGCCCCGGAAAGAATGACGAAAGGTCGTAGGACCGGGGAAGGTTATAGCTCGAGGAGTTTTCTAGGTCCTTGGAGATACTTGTAGGATGTGATGTCCGGAACTGCAGGATTGACATTGTTGAGAGGGCCGCGTGGTTTATAGTGCTTATGTCCGATCCGAACGCCGGCTATAAATAGATAGATACCGGAAGAGCTGAAAAGCTCAAAAGAGATCCAGATATCATTAAAGTCAAGGACTGAGTGCGTGCAAGTCTCTACCAAGGAGTATTTAGCATTGGTCCTAGGATGTATAGCTCTGCGTGCACGACACATTGGTCAACCTATTCAATGCCATAAGAACGTAGAGCGCTGTACAGTAGTCGGGTAGAAAGACGAGGCCTTGAGTGTGCTGTGAGAGAGGCAAGAGCATCATCGAAGCGATTCCGAGGTGAAAGCAGAGCCGAATACTGTGCTTCTATTCCAAATGGATGCTACCGTGACAGAAGGTAGCATATTACCTATATGACAGCTTCGAGCAGGGACTTGAAACTCCATAACACGAAAGAATCTCCTCTTCCATACTACAGCGTTCGAAACTTCTTGACCCCGTGGAAAGTCTGATTGGTTTGATGCCCTGGAATACTGTGTCCCAGCAAGCCGTCTGGAAACTGTACCCAATTCTCTCTCACTATAACTCTGAGAGGCTTCGAGAATAGTCTTCAAAGTATCGTCGGGACTCGAGGGAGTAATAAGGACTGGAGATACATTTAAGATGCCAAGAATGCTGAATGGATATTAGAGCTTAAGGAAAGCTATATTTGCACGAAAATTGACATGGATTGAAGCAGGATCGCACGCCATGTCCAACGACTTATACTAATTGTGGTACGATATTATTCGCAGCTTGCCAAGTAGAGTATGGTATTAGAATGATATTTTGTTGCGAGTTTTGATGTTTCCTCATTAATTCTCGAGCTGGTGGCATGGGAAGTACACCACCGGAAGGAACCCGGCAGTCTAGCACCCACAAAGACGTGATTTTGCCGATTAAAGCAGGTTCGACCGCCAAGAGAAACCTCATGCTCAGTCGACTTAAGTCCGGGACAGTCAATACTCAGCACAGGCTGTAGGATTGATTGATTGATGGATTCGGCAGGGTGGCAGGGGTCATTTTCACTCGAGTGATGGCGATCGCCGAGACCCCGAAAGTTTAATTGCCGAGCGAAGATCGCATCGTGTCCGATTCTGCGAGACCCTGGAAAATGAACTGCCTTGATGTGGTCGACGTTTCTGTCGATCTGTGGTATGATACGAGACATGATACTCGTGTGCGTTGAGTGGCGCGTTGAGCTTGAAAGTCAGTTTAGAAACTACGTTCACGACTGATCGCGTTTGCCAGCTATGATGCCTTGCTCGAACATGGCCTGAGCTAGACCGACGTCAACAATGTGTTTACGAAAAGTTTCCTGCTTGAGGAGCTCGAGATTGCGCAAGGCTGGGCCAGGATAGCTAGTTGACGTCAGCAGAGGGCATGGAGGCTGGTTGGAGTTCAGGAAGGCGTACGCGATATATTTTGCATACTGAGGGAGCTGAAAGTATTGCAAGTAATCGATGTAAGCAATAAATTCCGGGTTGTCAAAGACCTTTTGCGTCGCAGCTAAGTGGTTCAGATACAGCGGGTTTCCTAGAGACTGAACGAACTGAGAATGGCTATTAGTATAGACACGGACGGAGCAGGTAATTAGGTGAGATGATGGACATACCTCCAGCTCGAGCTCGAAGCGCGTAAAGCCACCGTAACGGATGTCCTGAACAGATGGGCTCTGTGTCTCAGCCATATCCCTTCCAGTAGTGGGTGTAGGAGGTTGTTGTTTGATAGTGGTATTGCAGATGCAACAAATATGCCAATTGCAGTGGATGATGATAGACGAGGTCTGAAGAGGAAGAAGTTGAGGCGGCCGACGCCTTGCCTAGCCCTAATAGTCCCCTAGGTAGACCCGCACCCGCCTAGGGCTGTCCTTGTGGCTGGCTAGGCCTAAGCCAGAATAGCTGCATACCCTGCCCAGTGCCGACTGAGGTGGGCTGTACTGTAGCAGTGGAATTAGCGTGTGCATTTGGCACCGACACCGGCGCCATACCCCTCTCTTTTAGCTAGCTAACCCCCCCTCCCCAAAAAAAAGTCCGGGGTGACCGGGGCGGGGTCAGCAGCCAGGTGGGCTTCTTACAGTACATACAGACAGGAGAGTAGCTAGGCTTACTGTAGGTAATTAGTGGGCTGCAGCTGGCTGGCTTGACGTGGTGGTGGTGGCATTTTGCGTGTGTGTTTGCATGTCATGTTGACAAAGCCCACCTGTGCTTGCTTGCTTGCTTTGTGATACTGTAATGCAGGCTTGTAATCGTCATACTCTAGAGAGCAGCATCTCTCGCTGACTTTACCTTGTACGCAAACTCCACGATCAACGGCCATGATCTGCTCTGTACCTGATGCTACTCGTATGGCTCGGATGAGGTCAAGACAAAGATTACCGAGCAGCTAGCTAAGCTTGCAGCCAGACGAGCATTTCTGCCATCCAGGGACCACCGACATCCCCACACTTCAGTCACGTTCCGACTTCTGGCGTGCAGCCTAGTCCGAAGCCACTGGGCCCGTTACCTATTCAGGATTCAATGTGGTGAACAGTGGAACGCCGAGAGTGAGGTATCCAAGTCGAGCAATTCAGATCCATAAGGCCTCAACCGACCTCCAGTCCAAGCCTGGGATGGGACCACGGCAATTCGGAGCTTTCTTCAGAGGCTCAGACTCGGACTACGCACAGGACAAACGATACAGTGCAAGAAAGTCTGGACCGCAATAGACGGCGGTTTCTGCGTTTCAGCTCAAGGAGTAGTAGGTAGAGAATACGAAGTCACAAGGCGGACGAGAGACAGCTGGGACTGGGAGTAAGTAGCACCGCCCCATCATATCTGACTGATCATCGTGAGTAGCTAATTAAGGTATACCGTATAATTACTAATTACCATCCCTGGAACGACAGGAATACAGTCGTAGGGGTAATACTAATACCGTAGTAGTAATTAACAGGCCGACTAAGTGATGCGCCCTGGTCATTTGTGTCATTTATGCCGTTTGTAATAGAAATAGGTTAATAGATCATGATCCCTTGCAGCCCCCTCCCCCCTGTTCCCGTGATCGAAGCTTTATTGCTGCCGGAGAAGACAAGAAGAGAAAGGGTGTGTGTGTCAGTGTCCCTCACATTATTATTATTATACACTTCACCTCCTGAGAACGCGGCGTATAATTACCCTACCTTACCTTGCCTCTTGTTCTTGCCAAGAGGAAACAAACGCCAGAACGCCTGGAAAACCCCAAAAGCCAAAAAGCCAAAAGCCAAAAGCCCGAGGAACGATCCGAGTGACGAACAAACTTCTATCCTTCTCTCTTCCTCCCTCTCTCCTCGTCCTTCTCCTTCTCTGTCTTGTCCTCCGCGCCTGTCTGTCACTCTGTTCACTCTGTCGTCCAGTCCGTCCCACTTGGAAGACCGAAGCAATATCGACTCTGGCTCTTCCACTGGGTCCACCCTCACTCTGCCTACTCCGCCCTTCGATCGCCCTAGACAACCACTATATTTCCGCTCTCGCCTCCATCAGACATCTCATCATCCGCTCCAGTCTTGTTACACACTTATTAACCGCCAGCATAATACCTCTGCCCCTCCTGCGTCTCGTGTGCGTGTGAGTACGTATATACTCTCAATCCTCGTCCACGGCCGGACGCCCTGGCCATTCTATTTTCCATTGGAGCGCCGCCAGCCCAGCATTCTATCCCCGACGAGTCATTATTGGAATACAGCCTCAACACCATCTTGTCTCACTACAGCACATTGCTGCATTTACTGAATAACCAGCACGCAATCAGTGCCGAGTGGTGCGTTGGGACGACCTCTGTGTCCCACTCTTCGGCTCCTTTACGTCGCAGTTCGCGGCTGTACCCTTATATGCCAGATTGGCGCCAACCGCCCTCAAGCGTCATCGCAGCCCCAGAGACTCGGATCCACCACTTCAGAGCGCGCACCCATTCCCTGTCGTATTAAACCACGCTCCCCAAATCACCGGCCATTCTCCCTACTTCAATCACACCGCTAAGCTGTACCGTACGGAATAAATAAACAAGCCATCTTTTCTCCTTCAACGATCAACAACGACAATCTAGGCAAACAAATCTCTCTGTCCTAGCCATGGCGCAGTTTCATGTTCAAGGTGCGTTTTCCTTGTCCACTGCGGCGCTACCGCATCTCCTGTTTCACACACGGTTCTTTGTATCCGCGACACCAATCCCAGCTACCTTGCATTTTGCCACTTAATTCATCTAATATGCCCAGAGAGCGCATTGCTGACCTGCAACTTTAAAACAGATCGGAGACCCTCTCCCCACCTCACTCTCGAGCTCTCCTCCAACAATCCTTTCCGCAATCGCTCGCCTGCAGTCACCTCTCCGGCTCTAGACACGCCAGGAAGCACACACAGCGCGCCGGGAGACCGCCCAGTCTCGCGAAATCCTTTTCTAGCAAACTTCGAACAAGATTCTGTCTCTCCAGGCTTTCTCCAAAGTCGCACAAGCCCTCCTTTCTTTGACAGAATGGACCCTGCACACAATGGCTCGCCGAACAAGGTCGAAGTTGAAAGTCACGTCGATGAGCTTTTTGTACGTCCAGACCCCTGCCCACCTACAAACTGCCGCTACCGTTGTGCACCCTCCCTCCTTTTTTTATCCCGCAAACTTCATTCCTTTCTCAAGGCCACTTCCGTCCTGTTATCCAGGTCTGGCAGCTTTGTGCACATGTTTTCTAACTACTATCCACAGAAGAACATGAAGCTCAACGGGAACGCCATTGACACCAGAAGCAATGGTACGTGCTTGCAGTCGAGCTTTTTTTTGCTGCCAAACAGATACTTACCCCCAACAGAGCCCAAGCAACGTATGAATCCACCACCGCGCGCAGGAACGCTGCCTCCACCACAAAACCACCGCCCATCACGATCCCAAGAACAACAGGATGGGAGGGTCGATGCACGCCCTTCGAGACCACGCCCACCTCGTGATGAGCGTGGTCCTTTTGAAAGCCTAGAAAGACGTGAAAACCGCAGACCTCGACGCAACTCCGAATCCTCAATAATTGACAAAGGCTCTCTTACTGCTGAAGAGGAACGCAGGCGACGTGAACGTCGTCGGGAACGCGAGCGCGAGAGAGGAGATCGCGGCAAAGATGGCAAGTCACGCGACACTCGTAGCCAACGGACTAAGAAACCTCATGGTCTTGACACGATCGACAAGCTTGACGCCACCGGTCTGTATGGCGTTGGACGTAAGTACATGTCCTTGTCACAAGCTAGCACGACACACTGACCACTCTAGTCTTCCATCATGACGGCCCGTTCGACGCTTGCAACCCTCATCGAAACCGCAAGAAGGACCACCGCGCTCCCATGCAAGCTTTTCCAATGGGTTCAGCGAACATGGCAATGGGTGGCTCTGGTCCAGTCAACAACAAAATTGATATCGATCGGATCCATGGTAGACAGCCTGATGCATTTGGTGACTATAATGCTCGGACTACGGGTCAAGATCCCTTCACATTTCGCGCCAAACTACCTCAGAGCGAACGCTCTGCCATCGTCAACCCAAAAGGCCTCATCGAACCTGTTCACGGTGAAGAGACAGCTGGTCTAGGCACTTCGACCTTCTTAGAGGGCGCTCCAGCGTCAAGATCAGCCATGCAACGACGGGACTCAGAGAACGAAACTGCGGTGCTCCAAAGCAACGGCCTATCGCGAAAGAAGTCACTCGCACAACGCATCAGAGGAATCTCACAGCCACGTCGAGGCGGATTCGCGGATGGCGCACCGCGTATCGGGACAGGAGAGCCCAGATACAACAATGGCGTCAATTCTCCTGAAGAGGCTATGCCCTCTAGGACAGTTCAGAGTGCAGGAGGTATAACTAAGGCTGGTGAACAAAATCCGTTCTTCGAAGATTATGACGATGCATATGAGAAGAAGGGCACGACAATCAGAATTGCAGAGGATGCTAAGACTGGACGACCGCGTGCACCTAGCTCCCCAATGCGTAACGGTCTCGAACGTAGGCTCACATCTGACAGCGGAGATGGTGAGGTCAAGCAGAGCGGAGGCTTTCTTGGCAGAATGAAGTCTCTGAACCGCGGAAAGAAACGGCCAGAACGACCAGACCGGCCAGCCCCAGAGCGTCCAACGGCCTGAGGCTGGACGAAGAACACGCAAAGACTACTCCTTGTCGTTCGTCGTTTGCCATCTTATAGCGTCGATTCACACATCAGCGACCGCGCCGAATACCTGAGCGCTTCTTGGCCGTACAGTTCGACGATTAGGTTGATACGAGCAATTCACAGAAGCATGAACACAGCCCCTGCGCATTCGGACACTTCTGCCGAAGAACATGTCCTATGATTCCCAATTACGGCATATTCTCGATGCCCTTTGTTTCTTTCTCGTTTGTTCTTGCGCATTGGGACACGACTGGCTTCGCAAACCCTTCCCCCCTCGATCTACTTTGTACTGGAGGACATGAACGAAGAATGAAAAAAAAAAAGATTTTTTCCGCGCAAAACACGACGGCGCATGAGAAAAGCGCGATTGCATGGGACGTGATGTTGGATATGCAGGTCTACAGGGTGCGGCATGGGTGAAGGGCCGATCTGGAGGCTTATTCTCACCATCGAGAGGGTTGCAACGTCAAAGTCCTGCTGGTGGTGGGCACCTTGACTTTCCCCCGCTTGTATTGGTAGACGGCATCAGTATGTTGTATCACGTAAGGAATGAAAGTGGATGCATTAATCACCTCGGCTTGAATATCTAGTGAGTGGTGTGTGACATGTAATGTATGGATGCATGCATATCAGCCGGTCCTAACTGAACCAGTCGGTCAGTCGTACTAATTAACTAAGTAGTGAATCGACACTGTAAGCAACTACGGGACAGCAGACACTCCAAATCACCAGCGAGAATTCAACAGTGGCCCAAAACCCACTAAATTAATGTAAACACCATGATTGCTAATTATCACTCCTCTATCATTCAAAATATGCCATGCATGCAATAAGTAGTAAGACAGGCTTTCAACAACGCGCCCACACAGGTATGATGACTATGACTATGACTATGACTCCCGCTCCCAATCCACCTCAGGACAGCAGCAGCACCTTCTTCGCCCCCCCTGTCCCCCCAAAAGAAAAACCCCCATCCCAATGCCACAAACGATTCATGTGTGTGTTCTTAGCTTCAATACTGAACATATGATCCATGTACTCATACACATACTAACTACTACGTACACACACTTCTCTTTTTCTATCCTCGAAAATTCCAGGGGAATTCATTTCCAAGAAGAGAAGAAAGAGTAAAAGAGAAAGAAAACAATGCTCTATTTCATCTTCAAAGTCTAACACGCCCTTCGTTTCCCCCGCCGCCAAACCAACGCCGCAGTCCGCTTCCTTCCTGCTGCTGCTGCTGCTGCTGTCCCCTAGCAGCAGCACTACTACCAAGAATGCGACCACCATGCGCATTATTACCCCCATTCCCACCTAGCCCCTCAAACCAGCCCCCGGCAGGCTCGTCCGGACTCGGCGGCATGTCGCTGTTCCCAGTACCAGCACCAGCACCAGCACCACTACTACTACCCATCATCCACCTCGGCCGCTCCATGGTATCGAATGTATTCCTCAGCCGACTGCCCAGATCATCGAAGAATCCGCCAGCGTCTTGTTCCTCCTCTGCCATGCGGGCCTGACGCGTGGCGCGTTCGAGGCGGGTGCGTTGGGTGTGTGTGGACGTAGTAATGCTGTTTGCGGTCGCTGCGTGGACTAGCGCTGATGGGTCGTCGGTGTACCGGTCAGCGGGGCGAGAGCGGGCGTTTGAGGCGGAGGAAGAAGGTGTGGTATTTATTCTGTTTGCGAGGCCGACGGCGTCGGCGTTGCCATGAGCTTGGATTTCGCGGTCGATGAGGGCGCGGCCCTCGCGCCATGAACTGTTCACGCCGGCCTCGCCGTCTTCGTCGTCGACCATGGCGGCGCCGAAGCCAAAGACGTTTCGCACGCGTCCGTACACGCCAAAGAGCGTCATGACGACGGGGACAAGGATGAGCATGGGGAAGTAGTCTTGGAAGCCGGCGCCGAGCGGCGTGAGCACGACCAGCCTGCCCAGAAACTTGTGGAACCATGTTGCGCGATAGACGACGCGCGGCAGAAAGGTGATGAAGTTGTATGCTAGGGGGACGGAGAGCTTGGCGAGCTGGCACGCGTACCAGGTTGCGGACTCGGGATACGTGCCGCGGCGTACAAGCGCGCGGTTGCCCCAGATCTTGACTTCCGTGACGGCGTAGAGGGCCGAGGCAAGCATATATAGCATCCAGAATGCCGCAGTAAGTTGGCCAGCTAGACTGATCTGCATTCTGGATGAGTTGCCCTTGTGTACGACGCTCAGCCCGACGACGGAGAGCTCTGCAGAGAGGGATTTAACAATGGAAGACCATATCACGAGGACGGCGGCGATGGAAAGCAGTGCTGAGAGCGCATAGTATGTGATCGGCATTATGTGTACATGGAGGATGTAGCGGGTATAGGGGGTCATGAATCTGAGGCGGAAAAAGGGGTCGTGGGGATCCTTGGCAGGGAAGTCGAGGCGTTGCGTCGATGTGCTATCCAGAATGGCTTGAGTGTTCTGGGCAGAGCGAACAAGTCGATCCCATTCATCAACGAAGCGCATCTTTCTGTGGCGTGCACGCTTCAGCTTGCGTGTTAGGTCGGCGAGGTAACGTTCGGTGACTGTGACGGGTACATTCGTGGTGGCACGAGCAATCGTGGGCCTCGATTCGAGCAGCGAAACGCCATCCGAAAGCTCGTCGATCCATTCTTGGAACGTTTTGGACACAGCTCCTCTCTTCGATTGTAGTTGCTGAACCTGGAGCTCGTATTTGTCCACCTCATCCAGCGAGTCCATAAGGCGATCGAGTACCTTGGGCGCATGCGACTGCGTGATCCGAAGCCTGTTACTGACACTTGCCGTGCGAAACAGCCAGCGTGGCATAGCAACCAGCCCATGGCCCATCAAGTATATCGCCAAGATTAGACCCCATGCGTATGCTAATGCCATCACTGTTCCTTTGAGACTGAGGTATTCGAGGCCGTTCTGGAGGAAGTAGTACACTGCAGCAAGCGTACTGGCACCAATCATAATGAGCCAGTATCTGCCATTGCTCTGGAGAGAGTATAGAAGCTTCTTTCGAGGTTCGCGATATCCGGAATCGGCGTACTCGCCTGTGAGTGGGAGTATCGCCCTATCAAACAATTAGTGACATCTTAGCAGCAACCAGTCCGACGAGCGCATACCATGTCAACACGAAAGTCAGCCAATACAGTATCCTCCAAGACACCAGGATAACTCTTTCCGGCAGCCATATGCCCTTCAAGTCCCCATCATCTTCTTGTGCCCAACTGGCAAGGTCTATTGGTACAAGGAGGATAATCGACGCCGGTAACGCGATCGCGAGAAAGGCCGGCACAGTAATGTATGAAGGCGTAGATCGTAGTGGGACGTAGTATCGTATGAGAAGAAGCACAGCGCCGAAGATAATGAGTAGGGCGACGGCGAAGAAGATGACGGAAAGGACGGAAGTGCTTCCCATGGTGACTGAGGATGGAAGCTCGCGGGCCTGCGCTGGATTGCAGGTTGATCAAGGACAGCGAGATAAGGGGTTGACGATAGCATATGCCATTTCGCTAGGTCGTGAAGAGGTTCACGCACCCATCGTGATTTGTTGTTGAGGCAAAGAGAGAGTCGACAACGCGGCAGGCACCAGGATATAACGAAGACAATGGTCCTTTGGTCCTGGATTGCGATTGACTGCGAAGCCGTGTTGCCTGAATGCCTCAGGCATACACGGGTAGCAAAGGTTCTGGAACAGCAGGTCCGTCCGGGGTGGATGACGCCAGAACTCGGCGTGCATTACCGAGCAGTCGTGTACCAAATTGCATCACTCCAGTCGACTCTGATTGCTCCTCACCTCCATTTCTAACCCAATCAATGCCCGCACGCCATATCCTCCATTTCAAATCACCTCCAAGGCCCTCGATACTTAAGAAGCCAGTCTGCCCCACCACGCCCGCACTTGTGTATCCTCTGTCAACACTCTCAATAGCTCGACCACAATCACAAGCATCCCTACAACAGCCGCATTTACGCGCTCAGTTGCCCACCACGTCGTTCCTTCGCAGATTCTTCAACTTCGGTACTGCTTCACCCGCCGACATGTCTGCCGCAAAGACCAAGGCTCTCAAACTCATCGAGGAGAACCCCGTTGTAGTCTTTTCCAAGTCATGGTGCCCATATTGTCGCACCGCGAAGGCGACCCTGACCGCACAAGGCGCGAAGTTCCACGTTGAGGAGCTTGACCAAATCGGTACCAGCATACGTTCCATAGGCAGTGTGAGTGTTAGTGCTAACTGTCACACCTAGATGACGGCGACGCGATCAAGGCCGCACTTTCGCAAGAGAACGGTTCCAACACTGTACCAATGATCTACATCGGTGGAGAGTTCGTGGGAGGAAACTCAGATCTGCAGGGAATCAAGAAGGATCTACCAGAGAAATTGAAGAAGGCCGGCGCTGTCTAAGTCGCTGCATTAGCAGAATAAACTCAAGACCAGGAGGTATGCACTACTGTGCTGATGCATCGAAGAGTACATGTACATATGTTATTGTCTACGCACACCAAATCACGAATGTAGCTTTGGTTTGCATCATGTAAAATCTGCAACGTCGTGGAAATTGCGAGCAAGATCCACTTAGACAGGGCACTCCTCTCTTCTCGTGTCTGAATCATGTTATATAACCGTCGCCAATTCTATGCCAACACCCCAGTCCTGCTATCGTAGTCAACCATTTGTTTTGCAAACTATGACACGGTTCGTCTAGCTACTAAGATTGGCTGACATTATCTAGAGCTCCTATAACGAAACAGAGCAAGCAATATAAGCAAAAGATAAGCCCTCTCATGATTCTCCCTCTTTTGTTCGTTCTCAACGCCGTATAATAAGTAAATACTTGCTCATATTTAATCTTAATCGCTTTTCATGTAACCACGACTCTAAGAGAGTATCGAAGGGCCAGACCCTGATGTCTTAAACCAAAATTGGTGCTTATAGAGCAGCTAGGCTCTGTACTTTGTGCGCAATATTGGTGAGTGGATGGCGCAACTAGCAAAAATTAACAAAATGATTCGACCCGGACTTGAACCGGAGACCTTCAGTGTGTTAGACTGACGTGATAACCAACTACACCATCGAACCATGTAAGTAGCACTGCTCTTTTAGATTATATTCGCTGTTCCAGAAACAGACGATGCGGACTGTCATGAACCTGATGCACCCGATCAAACCCTGTTCATACGTCTAGACTGAATATGGCATTAAGCAAGTATACTCGAGGCGCAGTTTTCGCTGCTCCGCTTAGTTTCACTTTTATTAGACAACGTTTACATGCGTCTGGTAGGACACGTGGGAAGATTATCAAAACTTGTGATATGCCTGGCGATACGCCACACGCTATGTAGGTCGGGAGGAGCTGTTCGTGTCATCTTTTATCATCGAAGCCAAGTACAGCCTACTATGTATATATCTTCACTCTACTAGGTAATGCCTACCGGCCTCGGGTGAAATGCATGTTCTCTTCTATTTCTGTACCCAACAAGGCTTAGCAGCGCCAATACTGTACACATTGGGCTTAGCAGCCGTGCACATGAAACATTGAAGATCGGATTTGCTAGTCTTGATCACTTTTTATTTCTTTTGTGGGATAGTGATGCCTCGTCGTGAACGGTGAGCGGCGTCAGGGCATGTGAGCACTCGGACAAATGACGTCCCCATGTTATATTACTGTAAGTTGGAAGCGTCAATGATGGGAATTGTGAAACAATGCCCGGATTGCAACGTGGACACCCAGCTTGTGGGCAGGCTTTCCCCAACTATCAGCATCCTTCTGGCGGCAAAACGGGGACCAAAAAAGAACGCAACCAATGGATCGTAATCGATTGGAGGTTTCTGCTGACCCCAACGTCAGCCGCAGACGCAGTGGATGACAGAAAGAAGACATTCCACAATTCTTGGTAGAATAATGTCCGAGGCTGATTTTCCAGAATGGCCGTATGAAGCTCGTTCTCAGAACCGTTGTTGAGCATTGGCGCACTTTGGAAGGCTTCGTTGCCAGCTGGCGAACCTGCAATAGGGGAGCCCTAATAGGGCCGAAACGCGGCGAGATGTGTTGGACAGCTTACGTGGAGCTTGTATTGAGCGGTAGATTCTTTCATTTGATTTAACAGGTATGTCAGAATGCCGTAGGAGTGCCGTAGGAGAAGGCATCATGCAATATCACGCGTGGCAGCAAATGAGAGAGACATGGGGAGTGAACATGGGGGATAGTTTTGGATGCGATCGAGTCTTTTGCAGCCGCCTGCCTGGTGGTTTGCTCACCGGCATTTCTGCGGTCCCTGGGCCTTGTTCCCGGCCTCTCTCATCCAGCTGAGTAGGTATCTATCTTATAACATCCATAATTATTTCATCTCACAGCTGTGCCGTTTTCATCAAAACTTGATCCTATCATATTATCGAGGGTCGCAGCCCAATTCGTTGTTGGCATACGTAGCTTGGCGCCCGCCTCCACATACCCAGGCACCAACCCGTTCCAACATACGCCCCTCCACCTTTCCAGGCTTGCCTTGTCGTTCGTTGAGACCACCTCCCGCGTGCCGCATCTGCCTCCTTCACTCTCAAACGTCGCCAGCACTCTACTTTTCACTCACAGTTGCGTTCATCTTCCGTCCCAGGCATTCTCTGCCATATTTAACAGTCACATAAGCCCCATCACCTTGAACACCCGCCCCGACGCTTGCACATATCGGCGTGTCCGAACATCAGGCACCCGCTCCAGCACTTCCGGGCCCCACCGTTCAATTCTACTCACCACAGATACCTATCCCTTGTCCGCTATTTGGAGACACCTTGAGAACAGCCGAAGCTTGCCTCGTCGACTTTCGCTCACATTGTGGTCCTTCGAGGCATTACTCGTATAATATAGCACCACTAACGGAGCAGCAAGTTCTTGTCTCTTTACAAGTCTGGGACGTCAAAATCGTAGCGCAGCTCGACCGTGGAACCACTATCAATAGCCACGTGAGAGCCACACGATCAGACCCTACGTTGAATAACGGCTGTGAAAGGAAGGGTTGGACACACCATCACACTACGTCTCGATTCAACAGGGTCGACATAGATGCAGGGTCCTGGTACCGGGGATACAGCGAACGGATATCCTCATACGGACAACTCCTCAACTTCTCCGCCGACTCTCACACGTCCAAATATGTCGTCACCGGCGCCTCTCCTCCGCCCTCCGATTCCTGGTGCGCATCGAGGCGGCAGTAGAATGCCGCGCCTAGGCCTCTCAATTCCGCCATCACCAAATGCCAGGCCAGTCACAAATGGCGCCGCAAACAACAATGACGTTCCCACCCTATCTCGGCCAGCTGCCCCTCAACTGCGACTCGCAACACCAATGGGAAGTAACACAACTCCTCAGGAGCAGACCCGACCACAACCGAGACTACAACCCCTCCAGACTGGCAATTCGGCTGGCGGTTCAAGCGATACAAGTACACATTCTAGATCGGGGAGCTTTGGTGATTCACAACAGAATGGATCGGGATCAGCGGCATCCTCATCGTATTCACACCCACAATTAAGCATCTCAGGGCCGCTAAGACCACAAAATTCTGACCCTCTTTCGGCGATATCTCAAGGTGGAAGCGAAGGCGGAAGGAACGAACGTGATCCTGCAAACTATCCAGACCTTGAGAAAATGGCTGAAGATAAGGGCAGGCCGTTAGATGTAGAAGATTTGGATGATGCAGGCTGGAGGGCGGCTAGCAGTAAAGACATGATACAAGAAATAGGGAGTTTGGGTGAGGGCGCTGGTGGTGCTGTCACTCGCTGCGTTTTGAAAGGCGGCAAGACCGTCTTCGCACTGAAGGTATGTAGAGCTCGGCTCTCGAGTAAAGACGCTGGGGACTGACAAACTGGTTAGATTATCACAACAAATCCGGATCCCGATGTCAAGAAACAGATCGTTCGAGAACTTTCTTTCAACAAGAATTGCGCCTCGGACCATATCTGTCAGTACTACGGTGCCTTCGACGACAACTCTGGAACAATCAGTATCGCTATGGAATTCTGCGAGGGAGGATCTCTAGACTCGGTTTATCGCGAAGTGAAAGGCAGGGGAGGAAGGACAGGTGAAAAGGTCCTGGGCAAGGTAGCAGAAGGTGTGCTCAACGGACTAACTTATCTCCATTCTCATCGAATCATTCACCGCGACATTAAACCTTCCAACATCCTTCTCTGCCGGAATGGCCAGGTCAAACTTTGCGATTTTGGTGTATCAGGAGAGTTCGGTACGAAAGGCGATGCAAATACCTTTATCGGAACGAGTTACTACATGGCACCAGAACGTATTACTGGCCAGAGTTACACCATTACATCGGATGTATGGAGTCTTGGAGTCACCTTGCTCGAAGTCGCACAGCACAGATTCCCATTTCCTGCTGACGGAAGTGAGATGAACCCCAGAGCTGGTTTGATTGATCTCTTGACATACATTGTACGACAAGAAATCCCGAAGTTGAAGGATGAGCCAGACAATGGGATCAAATGGAGTGAAAACTTCAAGTATTTCATTGATTGTTGGTAAGTCGGCACAAGACAGATCTTCCTGATTATGGTATGGCTAACCTAGACTCAGTCTTGAGAAAGAGCCTGGTCGTCGCGCGTCACCCTGGCGTATGCTCGAGCACCCGTGGATGGTCGAAATGAAGTCGAAAAAAGTCAACGTTGCCGCATATCTCAAGCAAGTATGGGCTTGGGAAGACTAAATTTCCAGCACAGCTTTGCAATCTAAAGTCGCTGCTGTTGAGAGCGATAGCGAACCGCTAATAAAAAGCAAGAGCGAATAGCCATAGAGAATCTCATGCTCTAGAATATCGCTAAAGAGAAAAATTGGGGTTTGGGAGTACACTGAAGCCACATTATGTGCACGCAGCATGTTACTTCACATTTCGACCGCCCACGCAATCATACGCATCTTAGCCCTTCTCCGTCCGACAGAAGGACACGTAGGTACATTTAGGCCATCTACGGACGCATGGAATGGCGTTGGGTATTCTTCTACTATAGTTTATGATCGGTAACTGGGCGAGGTGACCATATACGATATTTAATCAGATATCAAAGTCTTCGCAAACTGTCTTCGGTTAACGTTGTGACGCTGTAAGATAACATACAATACTACCGCCCTAAATGCCATTTCAAGTTGCACTTCTAATCATTACAAACTATAATGCGTTGGAATATGTATACTGAAGCGCCGGATCTTTATGTACCGTAGCAAAGCTAGTAGTATACAATATTTTATCGTAGTCTTCTCCTTCTCTAGCGCGCCCTCTGACGCTGACTATATGTCTGCCCCTGGAATCTGATTTTACCCTGTTCCATTACTTTTGACGTTCGTCTCATGTGAGTAGAGACTTGCCAAGGTGAAAGCTTGTCAGTCACTTGGTCCATATTCACGCCTGTGATTTAGTCCCATGGCGTAATTTTCAAGAACTAGGCGCACGGAAATATAAGTCTTGCGCGTTTGTGAATGCGAGATAGGACGACAGATTGTTCTGTGGGAGAACTCCAGGAGGATTCGTAGCATGCAAATGATCATAACAACTCCTGCTCAAGTTTTGCTCCTTGGCCGTCTGATAAAACGCCAAAAGCAGCTTGTTGTGTTCACACGCTAGGTATGTTTAAATGTAATGTGCAGCAACCTTGACACCTTGCCCTGCGCGCATGTAGAGGTTCCCGCAGATGTTGACGCCAAGAAAATGCGAATACTTTTGGGATGCCATGACTTCATTCGAAGAACCCACCGTCGCTATCCTCGTCTTCCTCGCGCGCATTGTTCGCTTTGTCTCGACCACCACTCGCTTTCTCTATCCTTGACTTCGCTTTTGTGGGACGTCCTTCCTTCTCAACCCTCGCCGACTTCTTCGTGTTCTTCATTTCCCCGGGAGCATGCACCTTACTGTCGCGTAACGCCTCTAATGTCCCGTCCACCATCGCCTTTTCAATCGCTGCCCACATTTCGCGATCACCTTTGCCCTCAGTTATAGTACTCTCAGGCTTTGCTTCAGTGTCAATGTCCATTTTTTCACCCTCTTCTGGCTTGCTTCCCTCGCCTACGACCTGGCCCTGTTGCCGTGGGTATAACGCATGATATGCTTTCAAAAATGGATAAAATCTTGTGTAGTTGTAATCGACCTCACATGTATGTACGTGCGCTTGTGCTGTCGCAGTCTCGTCTGGCGTCGTTGCATTATTCAGAGCTCGGCGGGCTTTTTTGAGGTTGCGCTCAGCTTTCTTGCTTTCTGAGATGTGCGATCAGCTTCGCGCATATAACACTATCGCCTTGGGAGTCTTCGTGAGTATTTGTATAGACTTACCAAAGAACCGCACCATGTGGTACTTTCTAATCATCTCGCTCCGTCGCATATCCGCCTCCTCTTGCTCTAGGTCTCTCTTCAGGCTCCCCAGCTCTCGCTCCTGTGCTATTCGTACATCGGCAGGGATATTACGCGGGCCAGAGAGCAAGCGCTCAAGGTCACGGATGCGACGTTTGATAGGGTTCACGGTGTGTGCCTTGGAGTATGCTGGACCGCGAATGTGGGCTGGCTTTTCCTTCTTCTTCCGCTTTGTTTTCGGTTGTGAGGGAAGTCCAAGAAGTTTGCTACGTGAGGGATGTGTTGGAGGTTGTGGTGCCATTGTGTGTGCGACTGTGAAAAATGGTATTGTGGGCGTTGAAGCGTGAGTGGTTATCTACAGGCTTGGATATTATCTTTCGAGCTTTTCTGCCTATATGGATGAAAGTTAGAGTGGGTCATCCATGGCGTTGTGGTCCGAGCGCAATCATCAACGTCGGTCTATCAGACGGCCTTAGACGTGGAGATGCTGCAGGAACAAGCATCTATATGCACGTGCTCATCTTACATCTTAATTGGATACAAAGCCCTTGAAACCCATTACGCCCAAGGTCTTGATGATGTTATCTAGAGCTTGATAATGTGATGCTCACTAATACCTCCTACCGCGTACGCCTGGCACGATGGAAGAAGCAATCCGCTGGTCACCACATTCTACGGCGTCGGATCCACGCTTCGTTATAATCAGCGTCTCAAACAATCGCCTCCAATACTGCAAGCTCGACAATATCAGCCATGATAAGAAGATCTTGTACTCCGAAATCAACACGCGTCGCAAACTCCCAAATTTCACCGCCTTCGACTGGTCAAAAACACAGGAGCACTTTGTTGGCATCGGGGCTGCGACTGGCGAAGCCGTACTTCTGGATCTACAAAAAGGTGATAATGCATTCATGCAATCATTCCCCATCAAGCGGCAGCGCAAATGTAACTCGATCGCCTTTAGCGCCAAGAACTTCCTGGCAACCGGACTGGATAACGTAAGGAATGATGTGTGCATGAACATTTATGACCTCAACGCAAGTATGCCGGTAAACACAGAACCGTACCGAAAGTTAGGGACGAGCGAGGCGATCTCAAGTATCAAGTTCTTCCCTGGACAGCCGGATACGCTGTTAGCAGGAGTTAGGGGCCAGTGTATACGACTATATGATCTGCGAGGTATAACACATATGAGTTCAAATGGTGCGGATCTAAGCTTACAGTAGTAGACTCACCAGGCAGTAGTACTGCCCAGTTTCCTACTCGTCAAGTCAATAACATATCTATTGACCCCCTGGACGAGAATTTCTTCATCTCCGCTGGTCCAGCCGGAGACGCGACGGTGAGTATATGGGACCGCCGTTACGTATCGCGCTCTACTTCCGGCACGCCCTCATCCGAAGTCCCCGCCGGATCTCTTCTCGAATTGAGACCGGCAATTGACACGTCGACTCCGGGTCAATCGACTTCAATCTGGTCACTTCGGCATTCTGGAACGAAGCGTGGCTGTTTTGGCATCCTTGCAAACACAGGCGAGATCAAGATCGTGGAAACTGCGCAGCATGGTATAAAGTCCAGCAATATTCTGCATTCCGGACCTTCCAATGACTATGGAGGTACGCCTTGGGCCGCGAACCAGTACGTCAGACGGAGCCACGTTCTACAGTACTCGAGATCGGATGTGTCTTGGGCTAGACAATACGAGCGACCAGCCGAAAACGAGAGAGTATACGCATATGACTTCATGAACCCGGGGTGTCCAGCGGAAGGTAGTTGTCTAATTGCGATGACGCGGCCCCAAGGGCAGCAGCAGCGTGAGGTCACCATGCTTAGGATTCCAGATGCACCACCGCATATCAATTTTACAGCTACGAACGAGCTATATCGGGATCAAACGCTTCTGTATCATCCTAGAGCACACAGGAGAAAGATTGCCGACGACATGGACGAGATACGACGGATTGCGCTGACTGGGAAAGAGGCAATGACGGACTCTATGGTGCTGACCGGTAGCTTGGTATCGACAGAGACGCTGAATCCCGCGATAGAGATGATGAAATTAGACGCAGGGACGTCGAGCTCAAGCCAGTCATTGCACGAAGACTTACTCACTATTGCGAACAGCGCGTTAGAACCAGAAGATTTGTTCACTACGCTTGACGTGCAAAGAAGACGTTGTATGGAGGGTTATCTGTTCGACTGCAAGAAGAACAAGCTCATTGTTAAGGATGACCCGTGGCTTGGGGACATGTGGGATCTAATAGCACGCCTCGACGATCTCAAAGCCGACGACGGCATGGTCGCGCACGACCTAGACATGAGCTATGCTGGTGTGCACACGGTCTGGCGAAACACTCTCAAAATGCGCCGCGTCGATAATCGCCTGATAAGTGGTGATGCAGCTACCGACGCAGCCGTAAGCAGGACCGTGAGTCGCATAGTCAAAAACAAAGAGCTTCCTCCCCTCCTGAACGCCGTGCCGACCAAATTCACCGAGCAGCGCCAGCTTTGCTTAGCAATCTGCGGATGGGCCCTTCCTAGATCTACTCTACACACGCATTCTCTTGCTCTCATAGAACATGGTTATGCCTACAAAGCCATTGTTCTCGCCTATTTCAAAGGCCATACCGACCTTGCAATTGACCTTCTACGTACCGCCACCCGTGCCGGCCACATCCAGAACATCGGTTTGGCAGCCATCATCGCTGGTGCTGTGATTTCTGATGACCGCGAGTCAACCTTCAGCTGGATGCTCGAAGAATCGTCTGACCCTTACCTGACCGCCCTACTAACATACTTCATCAATCACTCTTGGGCCCGTGTCGTCGAAATGCCGCAGCTTGCCCTTGCAGATCGCGTCGGCATTGCTCTCACTTATCTCGATGACTATGCCGTGGGCACCTTTATTGAGCGCCACACCTTCTCTGTCATATCTGCAGGATCTATCGAAGGCCTCGTGCTCACAGGCCTTGACTATCCTGCCATTGATCTTTTTGAGAAATACATCGCACGCTTCGGCGACCTTCAGACCGCCGTTCTGGCCCTTGGTCGCAGTCAACCGTTGTATAGCGTTCCCAACGATGTACGATGGCAGGCCTGGTACGATGCATACTTGGCACAGATGCATGTCTGGCACGCCTTCGTACAACGCGCGAAGTTTGTTGCACAGCATAGTGTTCGCGCCGTCAGTAGGCGCGGAAAAAGTGAAGTCAAGATACCCGGGCCACAAGTTACGATTCGGTGCAACAACTGCCAACTAAACCTGGCAAGGCATGTGGCAAAGCCACTAGCCATGTCCAAAATTGGTCCACCTGCAGCACCAGGATCTAAATCTGCAGTGGAGCAGAAAGCACCGCCCAAAACTCCAGCGTCTGCTGCTGGAACAGTGTGTCCTCGATGTGGAGCCCCGATGCCGAGATGTGGGATTTGTATGATGTGGCTGGGTAGCCCGGATCCGGCGAAGTTGGGGGGTGCGGCAGCTCTGAGTGAGGAAGATATGCTTGCGAGACAGATGACGCTCTGTCTAGGGTGTGGGCATGGATTTCATGGGAATCATGCACAGGAATGGTTCCGGAGGCATCAGATGTGTCCAGTACCGGATTGTCAGTGTATGTGTGGGATTGGAGTAAGTGCCAGGTAATTAGGGGAAGACAGCGGATGTACAGCATGAGTTATGAACATAGGAGGAGATCTTTGTGTGCATTAGGAGGGTTTAATGATACCATATACGACCTTGGAACACGGTACTCGAGTAGACAGAAGAACTTTACCCGAGATTAGGGGATTAGGGCCTGCAGGGCTGATTCCCGCCAGGTATCCTAAGCCGGGAATTACAATTTCGAGTGCACTGTTCACGACGCAGAAACTTGTTTCTTTGGCCTGTTCGATCTCTGCCTACATACACTTTGCCACTTTACATTGTGTGTACCCCTGCAACGCGGCATATAAGAACAAAGTCTAGTGGCGTGCATCAGCACACATATTCTCATTTTCCAAGACGCTCTCTGACTCAGACATAGACCTGCAACATTTAGTGGTTTAGGTACTATGAGCTACTCAAGACATACCAAAGACTATGGAACTGGTGACAGTTCTGACGAGGAAGATCGGGAGCATCATTCACGGCAAAATCTTTTCATTGGCCCGTATAGGCCTGAAGCACCGCCGTATCCTCTCTCAGTTAGAGAACGAGGTCGCCTTTCCAATACACAGGACCCCAAAACGAAAAGATACCCACCAGACTATGATTTCGACAAACCTTCTGGAAGAGAAAATTCAGTGCTAGATCCGCGACCAGACCACGATCGCAGACCTTTTGAAGCTGAACCCAGAAGGCGCCCCTCACGATCACGTAGTGTGATGCCGAGATCATGGCACGAAAGAAGATCCTCTTCAGCTGATTATGAGAAAGATTCACGAAATCACAACCGCCGTGAATATTCCCAGAATATACCCGACCATCGTCATACGCAGGATATTACTACAACATTTCGCAGTCTCTCACTCGTGCCTCCTGGACAGGTGTCCTACGAGTACATACACGACAGGCCAGAGGCAACTTCTTTGCCTCGAGCTCGATCTCTATCCGCACGCCGTTACCCAGCATCACAACGTCCGGAAAGACCTGTTTCCTACACCAGGGCCCAGTATGCTTCTGAAGAGCAGCGTCCTCGGTCACGAACTCGTGTTCAATACGAGCCATCCACTAGACGTGCACAATCGCTGAGTCCAGCTTATCCGCAGACCCTAACGGGGGCTCGGGACTCACCTGACATTGTCCGATCGCTACCCCAGAGACAACGGACACGATCTCATCCACGTTCTGGTGAAATTATGAGATCTCCTGGCCGAACCCCAGATGTGATTGTCACCAAGACCACCGAGACATGGGAGTATGGTGCACCAAGTGCTCGTAGGCTCCCACCATCGCCTACATCGCGCCGTACACCGGAACGAATGCATCAGCAGCATCGAAGCCGCAGTCCAAGAGTCGAGGATGAGGAGAGCTGGCGGACTGAGGATGGCGTAGGACGTCGAAGACGACGGAAAAGTCATGGGTCGCGCGTCACCACTACCGGCCTTGGAGGATCCCATTGGTCGACTGAGGGAAATTCCAGCAACTAGCAGGCTTTACACATATTCTGGTCGGAAGGCACTTGTTTTCAAGTTAGTGGTGATGCTGACTCAAGACTGCTTGGTCGTTAAAGGCAAGATTATGGAACAGATGCATACCAATAATAGACTACAACACGACATTACATCAAATTTAAGAAAGGACTGATACTTTGGAAGTTAACAAGGCAACATATGTCATAAATCAATCATTGATACTAAAGATTTCCTGAAGTGGTAAGTAAAACTCAGCCAAGTAAACATTTCAATCATCTTGTTCGGCATTAATTTCAAGGGAATGGCTCTATTTCAGACTACATGATCAAAACTGTTCTAAAAGTGCTAGGCCACGTCGAAATGTTCATATCCCTTTTCAATATAGTCTCAGCTCTCAGGCAAGGCTCCAGTCGTTCCTGCTATATGAAAACATTCTCAAGCCCTAAATGGAATTCGTAACATTCAAAGCATGGCTATCATGTTGGTTCCTGGACCTAGCAAATCGTGCATCGTGTGTCTCGAATATAAGTCAGTTTAGACCTTTCGGAGTTTGGACAACTTTCTTGTTGTAGAAGTGCCTTTCTGGATCAAGCCCATCTATCTTAGGGACCTCTTCATCGTCGAATTTCTTCGTGTAGACATGCAAAACCTTGCGCATACCCTGTTTCAGTGTCAAACCCTTCAGCACCGCTTCTGTCTTGTCCCAGGCTACTTCAAAGCCAATTGAGCTGATCTTATTGGTTACCAGCTCCCCAATCGTCGGCAACTTCACTTCTTCTGCAACGCCTCCAAGCCCTGTTGGGCCCCCTTTCAGATTACGCAACTCGATCGCGCAAATCTGCTGCAACATATCCATCATGGCCTTCGCTGTGTTCACCAGGATCATTTCGTCGGGATCTCTTTGTTCTAGCTTGTAGTATATGCTGGTAAACAAGCAGGCGATCCAGTATTCGCACTCGTCGTTGGGCGGTATAAGGAGAGCGGTGCCGAGAAGCTTGTGGCTGTCGGGTCCGGCAATCCATGCTGATTTGTCGTCACTCAATACAGGATTGCAGTGCTGCCAGTATCTCTTGTGGACTGATGGGAAGCGAGCAGCAAATCGTGTAGCAGTACCAAAGCCCCAACGTCCAATGCAATTGCATGAAAGGACTAGGACAGTGAAGGGGGACGCGCCGAGCATATCCCCGTCTTCATTCACCTCGAGGTCTAAATGTTTGGCTTCTTGTGAAGCTCTACGATGGCTATCGGACGCCATATTTGCGGATGAAAGGACCGTAATGCTTCGACGATGACTGCGAGTGGCAATTACATAGCTCTGGAATGAGAAGAAATCAAGAATCGATGCACATGTGCTAGGTATATATTACCCCACCTTCCCTGAGAATGACATGGATGAGAGCGCAAGGCAAACATGAATCGCCGCATTGATGAAAAAACAAATATACTGTAGTACCAACAACCAGTTTCTTTGCACCATAGTGTTGATCTGAGCGATAATCCGGCTTCCCAGTATCAGGGTAGCGGTGGACCTAGATAGAGGAATGATGCAAAGTTGACAAGCAGTTTTTATACGTCAGTGAAGAGTTTCATCAAGACAGACAAGCATAGTGTAACAGTCATAAGTGTTCTAGTTCGAGTCATACCTTATAATATTACTCCGAACTTAATACGTATTCAATAAAACCATAAGTGGATCACACTGAAATTGTATTGCTAGTCAACAAAAGAGGGAAACATTACAGTCTACATCATTTCTCTCTGCAGATCTGCTTGAGCCAACAGGCTCAACAACCGCAACAATCGGAACTATCTTCCGAAGGTGACCTACTCCATCGGGAGTTTGCATCTCGTGGCACCGCGTGCATGCTTGATCTCTGTCTGCCATATCCCGAAGTGTATTCCCTGCGAGACCCATCCAGATGGGGAGTCGTTATATGCGTGTCGCTGGCTGAATGATGTCGACTCTGGTGGGATCGCCCTACCCGACTACGTCCTCTGGATCCATGGTACGCTCTAGAGCCACTATGCTGTCTCATCCTTCGTCCGCCTTCTCTATCATAATAGTCACGGCTCTGTGAGCGCTGTGGTGATGGCGATACCGATGCACGCTGATCTCTGGAGCCGCTATACTGGCTTATCCTCCATTGATTTTCTCTACCGTCGTTAGCACGCTGTCCGTGTTGTGCAGACGATGACAGCGATATCGATGCGCCCGTTCCTACGTCGAACTCTTCACGGTCAGGGCGGTGTCTCCTTTCATCATTGCCAGGACGCCCAGAAGGTGAGAATGCCGGAGAAGATCTCCTCACGGTCGAGCTTGACTCATGAAGCCCGAGAGGATTAGATACCGTCCTGGATGGGGATCGAGAAGTTTTAGGACCAGAGACACGGCGAGGAGAAGCACTAGAGCTTCGTTGTCTTAGAAGGTGTGCGTCAGGTGGTCTAAAGAGTCCACCATCTCCCCTGCTGCGAGATCTTCCTTGGCCTAGGTTCTCGAGTTCGGTTTCGTTGTTGCGTGATGCCATGGTGCGTGTGGGCTTCAATATGCGAACTTACACAAGTTGTTGTTTGTGGTTCACTTTACATTAAACTAGTCATAATCTCGCTCGCCTTTATACGTACAAGAGCAGTGGCAATAGCAGGGGTATGGGAGGAATGTGAGGGGCGAAATGGAGCCTGACGAACTGCAAGGAAGTCCTTCTTATTTAACAATGAAAACAAGATACCGAAATTGTACAACAATGAAACAAGAAACAGAGCATGCGCAGCGCTCCAGAGGGTCGTAAGCTCATGGCATCCAATTCACTCGTAAGACAGTGCGACCAACCTTTGGCGAACTACTGACAGGTGATGAACCTTCGAGATCTATCCGCTACTGAAACAATCGTGTACGCCGATAGAAAACAAACAGAGGGTGTCCGATCTATAAGGTGTACAGTACAGCTCTCCATGAAACGGCTTAGGATGAAACTCCCGAATAGCTCTGAAATGCTAAGATAGGCAATACATAGCATAGCTATACACAGCGTTGATAACATACAAGTAGTTATAACAGCTATATCTGCTAGACTGAATGAGACACGGATAACAGCCACTAATGCAGAAACAATGCTTGAAATCATTCGTGAGACAAGTCTTACTGAACCTATCATTTGATCACAGCGAGACTGCTCATAGCATAGTCTGATGTCATCATCTTCCATGTCAAGTGCTGATTATCTTCCGTCTTTGACTATCACACAAGGCGGGAGACTAATATATACCACATAAGCGAGATATACAGATAATCGTCAAGTCTCCACAGGTGTGCCTACCTAAATCTACCCCTATCCAGTCCATACTGAGGCTCATGTGCTTCATACCGAGGTACTCCAAGGTTGGTAAATCAAGAGGCATACAGGACCCAGCCGGCGACAAACAGACTGTTCCTAAGAAGAGCCTTTTCATATCAATGTGGCAACTAAGATCACAATGTCTCAACATAGATAAACGGGTGAACTGAAAACTCTGCTGCTCCTTACTGGATAATATATCAGTTCTAGAAGATGATTACTCCAAAAACTAGCCGGTAAATAGTCGTTCACTCGCTAGATTTAGCACGACTAATTTTGTTAATCGAGATTAAGATGTAACGCGCACGGAGTTCGATATGGTCCTTTTTAATACTGATGGGACTTCCGCTAATTGTCATGATTCGATCTATTTTCAACCTCACCTTATTTTACCTTTTCATTACGGACATGCATGGAATATTATCTGTTATCACGTGCCCCCTTCTTTATGTAATCTCCCTATAACTTATAAGGCACATATATAGAACGTATTAATAGTTATTAATAGACATGCTTCTTACTTCTTACATACCTATACTCGATAACATTCCAATAAGCAACGTTACACTAGGGGCCAAATGGTAGGTGATGTTAAGGTAATATCCTCAGTTCTTTAAGGAAAACGCTAAATTAAACCAACAACGTACCTGTTAATAAGTGAGATTGGTTACTCCGTAGTACTACTCTAAAGGCTTCACCCTAGAAGATCTTTTCGAATGCATAATGTAAGGGTACTAACTCATCACTTCTAACTCTCGCTACGTACCATTCGTAAGTAAGCTATATATATAGACTTCGGTAAATATATCAATTAATCCGAGTATATAAGCTGAATCTAGTTAAAATTGCAATAGAGAATACGAGCTTAATATATGGTTTAGATTAACGACTAATGTGGTATAGTCTTAATCTAATTGGCTAGATTACTTGTGTTAGATTAAATAAAGTAGGGTATATGTTTATCTATCGCTTAATGCCTTCTCTTAGGCTAGAATCAGGCATGAATATTAACCTAAGGCTTACTTTCTGCCTTAGGCCTAAGGTCTGCCTCGATATGGCCTAGTATGGATACACCCAACTTTATTCAATCTAATACAAAGTAATCCCACGCCCTCGGAATAGATCGTAAGCTCATTTATACAGTGACTAATCATACAATCCTAGTATAGACCCTTGGATTGTGTCCAATTGTATATGCCGAAGTCTGAACGTGTGTAGATATGTTAGTACCTAAGATGCCGCATCAGTCGAGGGACACGGCTCCGAATGTGTCATATTACACGTTGTATGTCATCCTGAAAAGAGGGATACATCTTAGACTGAACGTATTGGTGCTTCTCCCTTTTAGGTAGGCGCTCTAATTGAGTAGATTTCAAGCTATATGTATACATACGCTTCTATTCTAGCTAATAGCATTCGGCCGATGACCTTTCCAAAAAGCACGGTGCCCAGGTTCACGCGAATTATATTATAAATATCTATGAAGGTTTCGTAGTATGTCATAGTAAGGTCACCAAAGTGGACTATAAGTAATACCATGTAGCATACGTCTTAATCATTGAATAGCCACCTTCTTTCTGGAACAAAGCCGCGAACAACAAAGTACCGCCAAGTCGTCTATACTACAAATGCATCCTCCAAGCATCCTCGTCATTATCGGTATCATTACTAGCGTAGGCGCTGTGCTTAATTGCAAACCGTCAGAATGGTTCGAACGGACCACTCCTCAACACTTAGATATGCTCTATAACAATTCTGATTCTGAATTCCAGACCGCCATTCAGTACTACAAATCGATACGTTCCGATGATTATGACTCTTGTGATGCTTATGAGGGCATCGGCCAGGAGGAGCAGGCAAAGTACAAACTCACAGATAAAGATGTACCATCTGAGTTGAGTGGGGGTGTCGTCGTATGCCAGAAAAATGGACCTCCGGTCGATAGAGAGGATGTGAAAACTGCCCAAAGGGCACAATTAAAAGCCTGTAACGGATCGCATTGGGGAAAAAACTTCGGACCCGAACGTTTATCCTTCCCCTCCGGAAACCTTGAGGCATTTCAATGTGACTATACAAAAAAGGACAAAAAGCACCATGGGAAACCGGTAGGACAGACATGCCACCCGGAATCGCTTGTAGCGATGTTATTACAAGTTCACATACACTGTGGAACTCAAAGCGGGTACTTTTATATGCGGAAGTGGGATGTCGCATATGGTCGGGTGCGTAAAGAATATAGAGGGCTCTGCGAGTAGGGAGAATTTCCGTTTGAAACAATTCCTCGCAGTTAGCCGAACAGATATAAGAGTTTTACCTTGCCTTGAGATACGGCAACGCATGTTGGCGGTTCATTCTCTTGATATTTTATGGCATTTGTATTGGTGGAAAGTACTTGGAGGCAGAGATGGGTACATACAATCCAGATCCACGCAATCTCAATCTGGGACAAGACTTTAACAGAGCATACAAGCTCAATCTACGCCTCAAAATAATTGCCAAGACGGTGCAATTCTCACTACATACTTTGAGGGTGACTAATCATATAATCCTAATCTCGGCCTTCGGATTGTAGCCGATTGTAATATGCCGCAGTCCGAGCGTGTGTAGTAATTAATTGAGTACCTACAAATGCCGCATTAGTCGAGAACGCAGGTTACGGCTCCGAATGTGTCATATCATATGTGACAAAGCGATATCAACCTTAATTACAAGAGAGAAACAAATTAGACTGACCGGACAAGTAGACGATCTAACTATCAATATACTAAGCAATACATACGTAGGCAGTTATTCTAGCTAATAGTAGTCGGCCGATGACCTTTCCAAAAAGCACGGTGTCCGACTTTGCAGTTCTACGAGGGTTTCAGAGTATGTCACACTACAATGGACTATAAGTAACGTTATTTAGCACAAATTACATCTTAATTTTCAAAAAAGCCAACCCCCCTCCAAAACTACAGCCGTAAACGATACACAAAACCGCTCAGCCATCGATATCAGCAATGCATCTTCGAAGCATCCTCGTTATCATCGGTTTCACTACCGTTGTAGGCGCCGCTAAGAATAAATGCAAACCGCCAGGCTGGTTTGAACGTTATAATAATCAGAGCTTAAGCGAATTCTATGACCGCACCAATTCTCCATATATCAGGTCCGCCATCGACTTCGTAAGATCAGCATCTCTCGACAAAGTTGATGTTTGTAGACATGAGCATAAACACGGCGAGACTCTGGAAGAGTATGTCATCCCAAGTACAGATCTACCAGCCGGGCTGGAGAAGGGTAACGTCGTATGCCGGGAAGACGGACACTTTCTCGAGGATCGCGATATAGAAGAGGTCCAAAAGTTGCAGTTCGGGCCCTGCAACGGAAAGGACAAATGGGGGAGACATTATGGGGGCAGTCTCAAAACCTTCCCGTCTGGCGACGTCGTGGCATTTCAATGTGACTATACCGCTTCGTACAAAATCATGTTTTGGGTCTATGAAAATGTAGGACAGACATGCCATCCGGAAGACCTCGGACACATGTGGTTACAAATTCACTTATATTGTGGAAATCGACCCGGTTGGTTCGCCATGGACAGTTGGGATGTCAAATATGGTCGACAGCACAAGAAAGATAGAAAGCTCTGCTAGAAGCTATTCCCGTTTGAAACCACGCCTCACAATTAGTCAAACAGAGAGACCGGAATGGCCCCTAAAAATCGACAGGTCGGATGAACATTAGGGCTATCGACAGAATATAGTAATATCCTCCATGACTGGCAAAAGTCATAGCAGACGTCAAGGATAGCTGGTCTTCGAGTTGAGAACTCGTTGTTATACTTCGGTCACGCATCAAGGAGAAACCCGCGACATGAGCAGTATTCTTCATAATACAAGAAATTCCACCTCGCCTCCAGCTACGAGAAAGTTCATTATCTCGATATTTGCAGTATTTGTAGAGGTGAAAAAGGACTTGGACCGGTGAGAGTTCGCGAGACTGTGCGACTGTAATGACTACGAGCGTCATAGGCAGTAGCAAAGAGACGAAGTGCTCCTCTATCTACAACATCCTATCCGCATAGTCTTTCTTGGATCCGTCGCGCGTGAAGAGGCGGTTTGAGTTGCGGCATATGGACATGTATACCCAGTTGGGGGGAGACACAGAATATCGATCCGAAACTGCTCGAGTATGACGGCCTGGACGACTACATCATGAAGCGGTATGAGGAATATAGAGTCGATGCGTTCTATCCAACGATCGAATTGGCCACAGGCGCGCAAGTCTCGGACATAGAGCATGAAGTCGTAGAACCCCTGACCGTCCCGCTCGGGCAAATCGGACTATTCACCAACGATTATCGGTCCTACGACGGCGAGGTACAAACGAGAGAACAGATCGGCGATCCACTCACCAACTCGATCGATATCACGCTCCGCGATAGAACGTCCACCGTTGATGAAGCCAAGGCAACTATACATGTGAGGACTATCAACGACGAGGGGAGGTTCTTGCAGGCACGGAAGAAGTTGTATGCCCTGAAACGCAGCTATCGCAGGGCGCAAGAAGCATTTCTGGACCCTTGCGCCGCTGGCGCTAGAGGCAATCACTGTTTCTGTGCAGTTCTTTCTCGGTACGGGATGTGTAAAGCTGACATGGACGATTGGGTAGACTGGCTAGCTATACCAGCAGCAGAAATTGAGAATGGCATCGCACGTCCCGTTGTTGTACCCCTTCGACAAACGGAGCGAACAGTGAGGAGTCCAATATAAAGCCTTTGAATTCAGTATCGTTTACTGAGCATACTTCAGGCTCAGAAAATGCCAGCTGCGTCAACTCGATCGAGAGGATGACCGAGTGGAGAATCAAACAGACTTATATGGTTCTATACTGGATTGTTCAGCTCAGTATATCCGCGGCTTGACATATAAGGGTGTACTAACAACGCTCATCGAATGTCTCAAAGTCTGGCTAGACATACCAGCGACATTATGGATAGCTATCAAGGACATTATCGATATTCTGCGTAACGCATTCCTCGTCTTGGATGACATCTAGGATGATTCAGTGTTGCGGCGATCACGTCCAGCGACCAAAATTCCCTTTCGCAAATCGCAGTCTATCAACAATGCAAGCCACATGCGTGTCGCAGCCGTCAAGAGAGCACGTAGCGTCCAACGTACCGACTGTCTTGATGTCGTCCTGGAAGAGCTCGGTACTCTGTTCGTCGGTCAGAGCTGGGATGTGTACTGGATAGAGAGTCATGTGTGCCCATGAGTGGAAGAGTACATTTAGATGACTGACAGTAAGACTGGGGAGTATGTTCAAACTTCTCACCCACGTAATGCAGACAGAGTCTTATGAGAAGCTGAAGTTGGGCCCTTTGACGACGCTGCTAAGAGGAATCTTTCAGAGCCGGGACAGCTCCATGAATTTGACAGCCGATGGGTATAGTGTGCGAAACGGCATGTGTGAAGACTTTGGCAAAGGGAAGATGTCACATCCCCTGGCTATGTGCCATAGCCTCAGGCCAGAAATTGCCGCTTATCTCATAGGCATATTGCGGCAGCAGCGAATAGCTGGGCGAGGCCAACATTTGACACCTCAAACAAAGCAATTATGTACTTGACGGATATCTAGATTTCAGGGGCGATACAAGCAGCATTGAGGAAGTTGGAGAAGCTTTCAGGACTTGTGGAGGTGGAAGTATCTAGCTTGGAGTGAGAGACAGGAGGGAACGATCGGATGTTGAATATATTGGCTGAGAGGCTTCGCGTCGAGTGGGGACTGCTATTGAGAGATAGTAGTGCCCTTGAACACTGAAGAGGAGATCTGACACTTGAGTGCTGTTTAGTTGTAACTCTGCCAGGGGGGGGGGGGGGGGGGGGGGGGGGGGGAGGGGTTAGATCTGAGCTGCGAGTGAACAGTGAACAGGCATCTTTCCATTCTTCCATAGCTTGTGGCGAGCACAGGCCTGTCTGGTGGAACTAAGTGAACAATGCAAGCTGGATAACGCCTTTCTCTCATCGGTTCTAGGCAACCAACTATCCTCCAACCAACAAACCTCATATTTGTCTCGAAAGGCGCTTCCGTCCAGATCTCCAAGCAATCATGGAACCAAGCATGAGATTCTCCGAGTGAGTGGTCTCGCTCCCATTCGCGATCGTTATACTGATATCACAAGCTGTCTTATGTCGCCTGTAGTGACCGTGACAATCACCACTAGAGAAAACCACACCGGCACCAAGCAAGAGAAAACCTTCAACATCCACTCGGAGCTCTTGCGACAAGAATCCGAATACTTCGCGGAGCATCTCCAAGGTAAGCTGCAGGAGCAGTACAGTCGCAAAGTCGTCCTCGACGACGTCGACCCAGGCTGTTTCGGCTACTTTGTCGAGTACCTGTACCGCAACGGCTGGGTGCTGGACAATCCCAAAGACAACAACAACAACAACAACAACAACAACAACAACAACAACAACAACAACAACGACAACAACGACAACAACGAGAACAACAGGAACCACATGGCTGAAGGTGACTTTGTCACCATCGGTCTGCTGTACGCTCTGGGGCAGCGCCTGGTCGCCGGGCGGTTCCAGGAAGCGCTCTTCAACAAATTCGCCAGTCACTTTCTCGCCGAGAAGCATGGTGCGAGGGAGCTCTGCGAGTTGTTGGCCATTGTTGGCGACGTGCTGCCCGAACAACACCCGGAGATCGGACTCCGTCACTACATCCTCGCATACACAGTTAAACACCTGGATGACTTGAGAGGCTACCACGGCTTTGACGCGGTACTGGAAAGAATGCCTAGCCTGGGCCGATGCATCCTGTCTGTCGATCCACACCCCTTACTGGACGTCTCGAATATCAGGCCCAGCGCCGGCGAAGCAGCGAGATACGAGGAAATAAGGTGTCCGAGCCCGCCATACAAGAAGCAATGTCGCTTCCGGCCAGAGTTCAGAGCCGGCGAAGCAGCGAGATACGAGGAAACAAGGTGTCCGAGCCCGCCATGCAAGAAGCAATGTCGCTTCCGGCCAGAGTTCAGAGCCGAATCTTCTTCTCCACCGCCTTCACCTCTCACAACTGTGGGAACCATCAAGGATGAACGCCGGAGATCGTCCTCGAGAACGCGTAAGCCTCTTGAAAGGTCCCCCACACCTCTGGATTCCAGATACTTCATCCCAGAGTACACACAACAGCGTTTCTCACAGAACACGGGGTCCTGCGCTCACTGGACAGCATCCCATGAGTTGCACTGAACGAATCGAGCCAAACCGAATGTCGTCAGCACGAGCGAGAGCGGGTTGTTGAACTGGAAATTGACTGAAGAAGGATAGAGAGAGAGAGAGAGAGAGAGAGAGAGAGAGAGAGAGAGAGAGAGAGAGAGAGAGAGAGAGAGAGATAGATAGAGAGAGACAGAGAGAGAGAGACAGAGCGAGAGAGACAGAGCGAGAGACCAGAACACCAGGAAATTGAGTTAGTACACAAATAGGCTAATGAATACCAGCTTTACCTGTCTTCAGTTCCCAAAAAGTAATTATAGTGCTTTCTTCAACACAGGCCGCGATTTCGCGCTTGAATGACTTTTCAGTCTTTAGCAAAGAAAAGCCCAGAGAGTCGATGCATACTGACCCGTCGTGAATAGCCCTTTCACCCACTCCCTCTCCCACCTCTCTCCCTCCTACACACACATAAAAACCCAGACATGTCACATCACAACCATTCAAACCCACCGCAACTCCACCCCTCAAAGCAGTGGCAAAAATGAAACCCTCAACATTCCCCTCGCACAGAGCAAATCCCTTCCAAACAAGCCCACTAGCCACACGAAGAGGAAATCTGCCTCGCTTTATTTAAAACTCTTTCTCGTGCTCTCTCGTCTGTAAGCCTTCAAGTCGGTTTGGGGGCCGGCGGTGGCGTAGGGCTGTGTTGGAGGGTAGATCTAGCTGTAGCGGGCTGAGCCACGCGCGCGATCTACCCTCCGGGGTCTGGAATACTGACTTACCCGTTCCCCGTTTGATGGGTTGTTGTATTTTCTGTTGGAGGATGGATGTAATAAGAGTATGGCGAATGGCGCAAGATTCGCTGGCGCTGGCTCTGTTTGGCTCCATCCATCTTTGGCTCCAGCTCCAGCTTCTCGGTCTCGCTCTGTGCACTAATAGTGTACAGTCGCTAGGTCTGTGTCGCGTGTGTTCGAACTCGCGCATATGTTGTGTTGACTGTTACTAGACATGCAGCATCTGTTGATCCATCGCGCTGCTCCGCCTCGCCCCCAGTTTGGCACTCATCGTCCAGCCACGGGATCGCCAACGTTCGAAAGGCAGTTTTGCGTGAGATCGACGGGTGCTTAGCGTATAAGGCTGCTGTCGTCTCTCTCACTGTCTCTCACTCTCTCTCTCTCTCTCTTGCTATATGAGGAAGAGTAGAAGGTCGTGTGTTTGGCCAGGGAGTGATAGGATGTGATATAAGCCCAGCATATACCTACCTACTACCGTCTTTTCTTCCAGACAAGATACCATTCCAACATATATATACACACACATACACACATACGCCTTCAAACCACCACCTATTCTATAAATCATCGTTCCAAAGAAACTCTCACCACAACAACAACAACAACGACAACAACAAAAAATGGCCCTCCTCCTCCCCCCACCCCTCCTCTTCACCCCCGCCCTCCTCCCCCGCACCCTCTGCCTCGCCACCTTCCCGCCCGCCCTCCTCCTCCTCATCCTCCACGGCATCCTCAGCGAAAGCGTCAACCCCGCCCTCGGCCTCATCCCCCTCGCCTTCTCCGCCCTCCTCAGCGCCGCCATCCTACACTCCGCCCAACAACAACAATCCCGCCGAAGCTGCAACTGCAACTGCAATGGCGGCAGTCTAGCCGGACACCCCGCCGTCCTAATCGCCGACGTCCTCGCCGCAACAGGCCTGCTGCTAGAGTGGATACTCACCCTCGTGTTTATGCCGCGGTGGGCGTGGCCGATGCTAGGGACGTATTGTACGTGGTTCCTGCTCCTGAATCTGTGAGTTTTGTGCTTCCCCCTTTATCCCTCCTGTATTACACGACCGCTAAACCAAACAAAAACAGAACATGCCACGCCTCCCTCGTCCTAAAGCACTGTCTCGACGCCCTCTCCGGCACGCCCTACTACCCTCCAAGCTGCCCGCAGTGCCACTTTGCGCCGCTGTCGCGCTTTCGCGGTTCCGGTCGCGTGTTTCTGAGCACGCTTCATCCGGCATACCAGCCCCTTATCGTTCCGGATGGCACAGACGAAACAGAGGGCGTAGAGCACGCGGAGGATGAGGGACAGCAACAGCAGGAGTATGGTGCGTACCAGGACGTGGTGTCCGATCCTAGCGGCGGCGGCTCTGGAGGGCAAGGGGGTAAGAGCGGCGGCAGCAACGGAGGTGGTAGGGGGGGTTCGGCAGAGGAGCAAGTCTGAAGCTCATTGTTGTCGTTATTGTCGTTGTCGTTGTTGTCGTTGTCGTTGTCTCTGCGTCGGGGCGGGGAGAGTTTGTGGCCGTAACGGAACGAAGCGCTTGTAGTTTACTTTGGCACGGATCCAAAGCACTCGGTTCCTACTTGGTCCCACATGTATACATACACATGCTTTATGAGTTTCTCAAGACGGGGCGCGGGACCTGTGAATATAAGGGGTAATTAGACCGGGAGTTGTGGTAGAGGAGGGGTAATCAGTAGGCGTTATCATCGAGTTTTACTAACGAATTTGCGTTTATAGAAGAAGAAGGAAATAATCCATAAATGTAATTGATAGATTGATTAATTAATTACTTTTATCAAGAAGCTTTCGAAAAAAAAAACACAAAGTTCTACAGGAGCAAGGGAGTGACGTTTGGAAACAGTCCAGCCAATTAGCAGCTAGTCCCGTTTCGGCCAGAAAGTAGCCGTCGCGAGCTGCTGTTTAATTACGCACAATAGATAGACACTCAAATATAGACGAGAAGAATCAAGTCCTCAATTGCAGATATTCTATATATACGTATGCAGTGCTACACACCATCCCAAAGCCTGCGCGTCATAAGTATGGTATGGTATATATTGTATTTTGCAGTACGGTGCAAGCTATGTACATAAAGACCGTCGAGGCCAGTAGACAGATACCCGAATGGCATAACTATCCCCCAAAAGCCCCCGGTTGTGCTCCTATTCTCGAGAGCGTCAAGAGTTCTCTACGATACCGAAGTTACCGAAGCAATGGCTGCTGATTTCCAGCCGAGTCTCAAGAAACAGTATTAAATTTCCCGAAAGAAAAGCCTCCCAACGCAATGCAATCCCCCAGCTCCCCGTCAGCGCTTGAACAATCGGAGCTCGAAGTGGGATGCCGCTATGAGCCTGTGGAAGGCCCCAAAATTTGTTAGTTAATATGTTGAAAAAAGACAAACTCGTCGTCTCCAACGTCCCCAACGTCTCCAACGTCGTCAACGTCTCCAAGTGTAACGTAGTAATATGTCGAGCATGTTCGTCACGCTCGAGCTTGACAATGTCCGGAAACAACGTCTCAGGTCAAGCCGTGTGTATGTGTTGTGCAGTGATTCGCCATCCATCGTTGAGATGGGTAGGCGCGTGTGCCGATGAACACCCGGATCTCGCCGGATGTCGGAAAAATGATGTTTCCAAAAACAGGTTGTTGTTTCAAGGTCCAATGCGGAAGACCCTGGCATGCACGGTAACTTCTCGGGTATCGTATCCTGTCACGGACATTGACGTTCCCAACGTCCAGAACGCCTGAACCTCGTAATGCATGCAATCCGTCCATCGTGAGTGATTAAAGGTATAGAGTAAAAGTCGTGGTTCTGAATATATGACGTGTAATCATGTTGTATCGGCATGCGCCGCCGATGCGCCTGCGCATGTCGTATAATTCGGATAGCTCACATGCTTCCCATCTTGAGAAGCGCTTCGATGGCTTCACGTTCAGGGCTGTTCTTGCTGATGGCGAGGTCCACGTGTTGGCTTGCCGCTCCTCCACGGAGAGAAGAAATCGGAAATGCCGGAGAATTGTGAGATCTGGCGGTAAACATCTTCGAAGCGTGCACAGCAGAGACGGAGCGCCGTTCCATCTGGGGACGCACATGCGAGTGATTATACGAATGCGTGCGGTTGTCGTAGGATGAAATTCTGGGGCGCGGGACGGATTTCGCCTGTCCCACTCCGGCACTGTTAGAAGACCTCATGCGTGCTGTTGAAGCACGTCTGTTGGTGTTCTTTGGGCTACCGTAGAACAAAGACCCGTGTTTCAGGGCCTCCGGACCAATCGCGGCCCAGTCCTCCTCGTCAGTCGCGTCATCATCCTCCATGTTGATTTCGCGCCCTGGTACACCTTCATCAGCGGAAGACGAAGTGTCCGAGTCGAGCGAGTCTTCGGATCCGTCCAATGACATCTTGTCGGCCTCGTGTTCCGCGACATTCATTCCTATGTCCATTTCCAGGTCATTTTCAAGCATGGAGTCGGCGGCCCAAGATCCCCCAAATTTATCGTGTCGCTGTCGACGCGTAGCTTCTGGTATCTGAAGACCAGCACTCGACATGGCGTACGAGTCTGCGACGCTCAAGGGTGGGGACATTCCAAGTCGCGCGCGTTCCGAGACAGGGAAGGACCCTGGTTGGAGACTGCCGCGGCCTTCTCGAGGAGGTTGACCGCGGGTTCTCGCATCCCAGCGACCCCAGCCAACCTTCTCGAACTCGACGTCACCATTCAGGCCTCCGCCACCCCGGATCTCCAGTGCGCTAACCACGAGCCTGCGGGCCTTGGGTGGTGGTATACTAGAGAAGCCTGGTACCGACTGCGTCAAGCAGTTGAGAATGTATCGAATAGCCATGGGGCCATTCGGAAGGAGGATATCGGGAAGGTGATGCTTCGCGAGCATAGAAGGAGTGATGACAGCAGACGCCTCCAGGCCGGACAAGGCAGCGCTGGAAAGAGCCGTGGGCTGGTCCTGCGCCTGAGCATGTTCAACCGCATCCTGAAGGTCTATCTCAGACTCGAGCGCGATGGAAGAGGTGCGATGGCCCTTGTGAGCATGCAGCTCTGGCGACAAGGAGTTTGGAGGAGTGGGAAGGTTGAGAGGATAAGCCGAGAAATCAGGCTTGCTGGCCGAGGCAGCAGCGTTAGCAGACTCCTGGCGAAAGTTGAAGTCGGCATGCTTGCCAGCGGCGACAGCAGCACTGAGGCTGGAAAAGGGCTTGGTTGGGATGGCGGCCATTGTTATTCGAGGTTGACTGGGGTAGAGCTCTCCTGTGAAGGTGTGAGTCAGAGGTCAAGGACAAGTAGTCGTAACGCGACTGCGGTGGTATCGAAAGGGAGACAGGAAGTAGGCCAACTCACGATCACGATGTGACGAAGCTCTGAGATAGTGGTCTGGCGGCGAGCAGATTGCGCGACGCGAGAGTGTAGATGGTGGAGCTGTAGACGAACGACGGGACAGCTAAGGTTGGTGAAGTGGATGAAGGGTTCGGTGATCGACAAGGTCGGACCGAAGCAAGCAGCGAGGCAGGGAAGTGAGGATAGGTGTTGTTTGGAGAGTCAGCACGACTGGCAGGAGTCTGAGCGACGGAAGAAAGGAAGCAAATAAGAGTAGCAGTGATGGGTAGCAGTTTGATATCTTCAGCGTTGTTGTTTATGGTGGTGAGAAAGACGGATGGGCGGGACAGGAGGACTATGTAGGTGCACGGGGGGAAGATTCAGGGCACGGGGGAGGGAGGGAGGGGGGTGAAGGGCGGGCGAAAGCGCAAGTGCGTATGGATTTGGTATTTGCATATTTGGATTGCGCCGATTGAACTCACAATGGAAGCCGGGTGGGTGAGCTGAAGGTTTGTTTGCCTGGGCGCCGCATCATCAGCAGCAGCACCTTGTAGCCTGGGAACTGGCTGGCAGCTGGCAGTTGGCAGCTCTGGGGCGGTAATAATAATTAATTAGGGGAGCAGCCAGCCAAGCCAGCCAGCCAGCCAGTCAGCCTGTCAGCCAGCAAATCCGCCAGAAAACCCGCCGCGAAATAGGCAGCACGCCAGCGACAAGCCAGCGACAAGCCAGCGAGCAAATAGCAAGCAGCAGCCTCCCCCAACGCCCCCACCCGCTGTAGTTTTGACACCTGCGCCGTCCAATTACGCGCATGCGCCCAATCAGCACTTTCGGCCCAGCAGCGTGACCGTCGCACGCCCAGAACAAACACGCCCTGCGCTCGTTGGCTGTCAATTCACGGTTATCATCCATTAGACAGTGTGGTCTGTCTGTCTCTCTTAATACATCATCACATTTGATACTTGATCCTACTACTACTACTACTACTACTACTACTACTACTACTACTACTACTACTACTACTACTACTACTACTACTACTACTACTACTACTACTACTACTA